AAGGGGGGAAGAGGCAAGGGGGGGGAGGGGCAAGGGGGGAGGAAAGGGGGAAGAGGCAAGAAGAAACGGGGGGGGAAAGAAGAAGAGGGGGAACGAGTGGGGCAGTGAGGAGCGCTTACCCGTGGAGCATTGGGGTCGTGCAGAAGAAGAGGGGGAACGAGTGGGGCAGTGAGGAGCGCTTACCCGTGGAGCATTGGGGTCGTGCACGAGAAGGTGCCTTGTTAACCGGTAGTTGAATGCAAACGCCATTCGGCAATTGTCATGCGGACACACAAACTGCGGTGAAATAGTATTGGCAATAAGGGAGCGAGGGGACGAGGGGAGGAGAAAAAAACGGGTCGAGAAGACTTTTGAGTCGGCTCAAAAGACGAGGGACAAGGGGACGAGACGAAGATTGAATAACGGGTGGAGCTGAAAGCACAGACTAGGAGCATTTGAGGAAAACAAAAACTCCATGAAAGCGTGTGAGACAGGGAGTGAGTGGACGAGTGAGTGCGTGAGCAAGTAAGCGAGTTAATGAGTGAGTGAGGGAGTGAGTGAGGGAGTGAGTGAGAGCTGGGGGGTGAATGAGGGTAGCGCACCTGCTTCGAATGGTTGGCCATGTGTTTCCTGAACATTCCTTTCTGAGAAAAGGGCATTCCGCACTCTTCGCACGTGTACAACTTCTCATGCCGTCCTTCCCCCTTATCATTTCTCGTCATCTTCCCCTCCCCCTCCCGTTCTCCTTCACCTTCTTCTCCTCCTTCTCTCTGCCCTTCCTCTTTGGATTTCCCTTCTTCAATGTACCTGCCCCCTTCTCTCCCTCCTTTTCCCTCTCCAGGAGGGAAAGGAAGGACCGGGGAAACAGGAGGAGGAAGAGAATGAGGAGGGAATGAGAGGAGAAAAAAGCGGGGACGAGAAAGGACGACGATGGGAAAGAGAGAATGAAGATGGGAGGACGGGGAAAGGGGAAGGGAAATGGGGGGACGAGGCAAAGAGGAAAGGGGAAGAGGGAAACGGGAGGGAGGGGAAGCGAGGGGGTGGGAGGGGAGGGGGAGGGAAGGGAAAGGAGTTCACCTGGCGAGCATTGGGTTTGTGTTTGAGAAGGTGCCTCTTCAACAGGTAGTTGAATGCGAATGCCTTTTGGCAATAGGCGTGTGGACACACAAACTGATGAGGTGGACGAGGGGGAGAAGAGGAGAGCGGGTAAACTCTTTAGTCAGACTAAAAAATGACGAGGGGGAGAAGGGAAAAAGGAAGAGCCAGCGGCACCTGAGACATGCAGCTGTGGAAATGTGAGAGTAAGGGAGGAGTGAGTGAGTGAGTGAGTGAGTGAGCGAGTGAGTGAGTGAATGAGTGTATGTGTGTGAGCGAGCGAGTGAATGTGTGAGTGAGTGAGCGAGCGAGTGAATGTGTGAGTGAGTGAGTGAGTGAGTGAGCTAGTGAGCGAATGAGGGGAGCAATGCGCACCTGCTTCGTGTGGGTGGCCATATGATTGCTTAAATTCCACCGGGTAGCAAACGCCTTTCCACACTCCTCACACGTGTAAAGCTTCTCATGCCCCTCCTCCCTCCCCCTCTTCTTCACCTTCCCCTCTCCCCTCTCCTTCCCCTTCGCATTACCCTCCTCCCTCTCCTTCCCTTCCCTTCTCGTTACTCAGTTCTGCCTCATCCCTCCCCTTCCCCGCTTCCCCCTGCCTATCTTTACTCGCTTCCCCCTCGACCCCCGGAACCCCTTCCGCTCGCGCGGCTTCAAGCGGAACCTCCGCGTCACCCCCCCGTGCGGGAACGGGCGGAACAGGCGGAAGCTCCGCGCCATTCCGCTGCGCCCGACGAGGCGGAAACCGCCGGGCGTAGCACCGCAGCGGCGGCGGCCCATCCGGCGGATTCGCCCGTCCTAAAATCACGCCGATTCCCGTTAGGTCCTGAGGCGCCTTAATACCCGTTGCAACGTGCGTGACATCCAGCGAATCCATCGTATAACCCGGCAGGACTGTTTCGACTTTTCCGGGCTTTTTTTGGTATAGGTCAAGAACTACACCAATACCCGCTGCAGGGCGCATGACATCCGCCTAATCCATTATATGGTCCTGCAGGAACGACTCTCGTACTCCCTCTCAGCACCGTTGTGAGTGGCACTCGACGAGACCTGAAAATGTTGTAGAAATGACTATCAAACCGACCGGTAGAAGCCATCTTCTACCTCTCAACCAGTCGTGAAACTCCCCCCCCCTCCCCCCCTCCCGAATGCTCTGAGTGCAGCGCGCAGCGTCGCCCGCTTGATACACATCCGCGCGCCTGCTGGCCTCGTAGCTTTGTGAAAGACTCCCACCCGCGCAGTATAACCGCCCCCCGCCCCCGTGTATAGTAAACTCTGTTCACTCGCAAGGTAACGAAAATGGGCGACGGGAAACTGAGCGACGGTAAAGAAATTTGTATGTCGTCGGGAAAGAGACGCAAAATGCGCATGGAGCAGAATTCGCGCCCCTCCTGTCGAAACAGCACAGCGCGGATGGGAATTTCACGCGACAATGGCAGCACCGCGATTTAACTTGGGAGCAGCAACTGCGCATGCTTCATGTTAAAAGGAACGTTAATAACAGAACTGTACAACAAAGCATGTTATTTGGAAGGGGGAGGGGGGAAACGAGAGCTGCATCACATACCTACTCAAATGAATTGATGTATGATTATAATTTTGCAGTATTTTTTAGCAATGATTCTTGCATGTCATTACATTAACACACAAAAACAAGAACCTGTAATGCTCAACTACATTCACGTGGTTTCGTCATGGACCATCGTAAAGCATATGCACGTGGTTACTTTCTTCTATGCCTCCAAGACGGAAAACCCCAGCAAGAGGGCAGAAATCAACCAGACGCTCAGAAAGCTAAGACTAACAGAGCAGGCCAACCTCCTCTGCAGAATGCAGTGCACTCGGGGCGCTTCGTATCGTATTAATAACAAAATTTGAAACGCCTTATATTGCAGTGCACCGGGGAAGACCTTTGAATTGCATTGCATAAGAGCACATCAATACCGTAGCATTAGCTGTTTTGATTATCATGCCTAGCAGAAGCCCAGCATAGATACCCAATATGGAGTAAAAACTGCTTGTATGGAATCCCAACTTCCTGACATTCCCTGACAAAATTATTCCTCCTCTTTTGCCCGTCACTTTCCATTATCTCCTCTCCCTCCACTCACCACTCCTCCCTTCCCTACTCATCCTTCACCACACCCACCCTCCCCTCCCTCCATCCTGTACCACATCCCCATCTCATCTCCCTCCATTTTTTCCCCAAACCACTCTTCTCACTCATCCTTCACCATCCTCTCTCCTCTCCCTCCGCTCACCACGCCTCCTCTCAATCCATCCTCCACCAACCCCACCCTTACCCCATCACCCACCGCAACTTCCCTTCCTCTCCTCCTTCCATCCCTCACCATCCCCACCCCCTCCCCACCACTCACCCCATCCCCTCTTCCCAAACCACGAGAACGTACAGAGCGACGACTCAGGTGATTCCTCCGCCTCTATGCGTGTCCCTCCCCATCATTCACGCCTCTGTGATCCCCACCCCCTCCCCATCACTCACGCCAGCCCCACTTCTCAAACCCGAGGGACGTACAGAGCGATGATTGAGGCAACCCTTCCGAATCTGAGCGCGCCCCTCCGCACCACTCACCACCCCCCCTCTTCCCAAACCCTTGAAGGTCCAGAGCAACGATTTAGGCGATTCTTCCGCAGCCGAGTGCGTCTCACCTGAAGCTCCACCTGCTGTCTCCTACGCTTCAGGTGGTTCTCTTGATCGTTCAGGTGCTCGTTCTGCTGCTTCAGGTGCTCCTCTTGCTGCCTCAGGTGCTCTTTCTGTTGGTTCAGGTGCTCTTCCTTTTGCCTCAGGTGAATCTCTTCTTCATTCAGGTGTTCCTCCTGCTGCCTCAGGTGCTCTTTCTGTTGGTTCAGGTGTCCTTCCTTTTGCCTCAGGTGAATCTCTTCTTCCTTCAGAAGCTTCTCCTTCCGCCTCAGGTGCTTCTCCTCTGTTGCCTTCAGGTGTTTCCTCAGCTTGCATCGACGTCCCCTCCCCAGAAAAAAATGCACCTTCGTGCCCAGGTACCTTTTCTGCTGCCTCAGGTGGTTTTTCAGATGCATTGTCTTTGAACCTGCCGCCTCCCCTTCATCTCCTCCTCCTACACACCTTCTCCTTCTCATCGCCTCTCTCCTTGGCTCATTTCCTGCATCACGCCTGCTCCTCTTCCGCCCTTCCTGAACGCTTGTGTGTGTCGCTTGCCGCACCTCCCCTTGCTGCACCTCCCCTTGCTGCACCTCCCCTTGCTGCACCTCCCCTTTCTGCACCTCCCCTTGCTGCACCACCGTGCTTTGAAGCGCCTCATGAGTTCTGTGTGCCTCTTGCTGTAACGCCTCTTGCCGCACCTCCTCTTGCCGCACCTCCTCCTGTCGCACGCCCACTTGCTGCTCCTCCTCCTGTTGCCCCGCCATGGGTTGACGCGTTTCATAGCTCGTCTGTGCCTCTTGCTGCACTCCCAATTGCTGCTCCTCCTCCTGCTGCTCCGTCATGGGTTGACGCGTTTCATAGCTCGTCTGTGCCTCTTGCTGCACTCCCACTTGCTGCGCCGCCGTGGTTTGGGGCGCCTCATGAGCTCTGTGCGCCTCTTGCTCAGCCTCTTGCTCAGCCACCACACCTTCCTCCTTGTTTCCATCCATTCCCTCTCTCTCCCTCTCCCCTTTGCCTATTTTCTCTGCCCTCTCCCTTGCCCCCCCTCCCTCTTTTCTCTCCCCTCGTCTTCCTTCCTCTGCCTCCTCCCATCCCCCTCTTTCCACTGCCCTACTCCCCTCTTCCTCTGCTTCTTCTCTACTCCCGTCTTGCTCCCTCCAATTATTCTCTCTCCCCCCATATATCCCCACCGCCCTATCTTCCACCAAGCCCTCTGCTTCTCCCACCAACCTTCCTTCTCCCACCCCTCACTTTCTCCCAACCCACTTCCTCCCCCACTTCTTTCCCCACTCCCTCCCCCACTTCCTCCCTTTTCCCCATTACACCTCGACCATCTACCACACCCGCATCCTCCTCCTCTCCCTCACACTGATTCAACACCCCACTCCCCACGCTGCCCTCCCCCTCGGGACGAACTGGAAGGGGTGCTTGCTCCTCGTCCTCCTCCCTCACAGCACCGCCTCCCTCCTCGTCCCTCTCCTCCCCGTTCCTTTCTCCTTCCCAGTCTTCACTCCTTTCCTCCTCTCCCCTCCTTTTTTCCTCCTCGTCCTTCTCCCCCCTCCTTTCCTCCTCCCCCCTCCTTTTTTCCTCCTTGTCCTTCTTCCCCCTCTTTTCCTCCTCCCCCCTCCTTTGCTCTTCCTGCCCTCTCGTACCATCTTCCCCACTCACAGCATCAGCCTTATTCTCGCCTCCATGCCTCCTCACCGCTCCCACAAGCGCCCTCTTCCCCTTCTTCCCCCCATGCGCACTCTTTGCCCCACACCCACTCCCCCTTCCCCCGCAATGCTGCTTCTTCACATGAGACAACATGTGGTCTCGGCGCTTGAATGTGCGAGAGCAATGGGGATGAGAACATCGGACCTGGGGGTTAGGGGGGAGGGGAGGTGGGGGGTGGGGAGAGAAATCAGGGGGAGGGAAACACAAGACGACTTGAATAAGGCGAGTGCTGCTGCTTCCTTGCATATGCCGTCTCGGCGCTTGAATGTGCGAGCGCAGTGGGAATGAGGGCATGGGTTGCAGCTCGTGCATGGGTTGCAGCTCGTGCAAGGAAACAGAAGCTGTGTTTTCTTTTGAGTCGCCTCAACTTTTGTTAGACTTTTTGTTTTTGAGTCGACTCAAAAAGTAGAAACGCGGCTCGTACGTGGAGGAGAGAAAGGGAAACTTACTCTGGGAGCATTTGGGTTGTGCACGATCAAGTGCCTCTGTAACACGTGATTCGATGCAAACGCCTTCTTGCAATTCGCTTGTGGACACACAAATGGCCTGTGCAGCTGAAGAGCAGAGCAGTGAGGACAGGGACAGAGGGGCAGGTGTAAGCCACGCAGGGAAAGAAGTGACTTGAGTGAATTTGCAGGCTTCAGGCACGTGAATGAAGGAATACACAAACGAGTTTTGTGGCAGAAGGGGCAAGAAGGGAGAGAAAGAGAGGACGACGAGGGGAAGGAGGCGAAACGAGTAGAGCTGTAACCAGAGGCATGCAGCAGTGAGGGAGTGGGAGCGTGAGTGAACAATCAGAAGGAAGTTAGGGAGCCGTCGAGTGAGGGAATGAACAAGCCGCACCTGCTTCGAGTGGGTGGCCATATGTTCCCTTAAAGTTCTCCTCCGAAAAAGCGCCTTCTCACATCCCTCTCCCTGGCCCTCAGACACGAAGCATTGGGTTGTTGGGCTCTCCCCTGCCCCCCTCCCTCCTCCACCCTCACTGCCCTCCCCGTGAATCTGCACCGTCGCTCTTCCCATGTTGACCTCCTTTTCTCGCAAGGCCTGAGTTCCTGCTGCCATCTCTGCTGTTCCCGTCTCCTCTGTGTCCGTCCCTCTGCCACCATCATTGCCCTCCCATCGTATCGGCATCACAAACCTTCTTATACTGCCAGTATCGCCAAGCAAGGATTGGGCTCCTCCCTCCCCTTCCCCCCTCCCTCCTCCAAGCACATTTCCCACAGCTTGCAGCTGCTTCACTGCCCATCTCACCCTACCCTCCCTGGAAAGGGGGGTTCTCACTCCCTCCACTTCATCCCTCGTCTCCCCTCCCCATCCCCCTTCACCCCCCTCCTCCCTCCTTCCCTCTTCATTTCTCTCGTCGCCTCTCTGTTCCTCGTCCCTCTCCTCCCCCTTCCGCTTTCCTTCCATTTCCTCCCTCCTCTCTCCCTCTTTCCCGCCCACAAAATCAGCCTCCTTCCATCCACTCCTCCCCACCGCTCCCCTACACGCCCTCTTCCCCTTCTTTCCCCACCCCTTGAGCTCATAGCTTAACCTAACCCCACTCCCCCCCTCTCCAGACTTTTGAGGTGCCTTAAAAGCCTTCAACTGATCGCATAACCCAACCCCACTCCCGCCCTCCCCGCACGAAACACCGGCTACCCCACCCCTAGTCCCCCAGTCCCCACTGTGATCCACCCTTATATGGAACACCAAAGTATCTCGGTACTTGAAGGATCGAAGGCAATGGGGATGGTGAGGGCATGGGTGCTGGTGATTGGGAGAAAATGGGGTTCGGGTTTGAAGGATTGAAAACAGGGAGAGGAAAGACAAGACGCATCAATTAAGCTGCACTTGATGACACGGGCGAGTGAGGAAAGGCGTGAAGTGGGGAGGGGGAGTGGGAATAGTCCCCTATTGAGAGGAAGGAAAGTGATGAAGAGGTTGGGGCAATTTCAAGAGGGAGGAAAAGGAAGAGGATGGGGAACGGGAGGGAGTTGGTACACAAAGGTGCCTAGTCAGCCAATCGGTCTTCAAAAACATTAGGGAAAATGGGGATAATGTAGGGGGTGCGAACAAGGAAAGCTCACCCGTTGGGCTGGTGCACTAGAAGGTGCCTCGTTAGCCTGTAATGATAGGCGAACGTGGTGGGCTATGAGTGCATTCTAAAGTCAAAGGGAGCTCACCCGAGGGGCGTTGGGTTGGTGCACTAGAAGGTGCCTCGTTAGTTTGTAATTAGAGGTGAACACCTTGCGACACTTGGCGTGCGGACATATAAATGACCTCCGCTGCAGAGCAGAAGGGAGGGGCCATGATTTGAGTCGGCTCAAAAACAGGGGTCATGCACTAGAAAAGGCCTCGTTAGCCTGTGATTATAGGTGAACGCCTTGTGACAATTCGCGTGCGGACATACAAACGACCTCCACTGCAGAACGGGGCATTGGGCGCAATCGCGGGCGGAGGGGCAGGTAAGAGCCATCTCAAAACTCATGCGGGCACACAAATGGCCTGTGCTGCAGAACGGGATTGGGAGAGAGAGAAAGAGGGGGGAAGGCGAGGAGCAAGGGTAAGTAAGCTTGCATCTCAAGCATGCTAGAGAAGTGTAAGTATGTGCGACAGCTTGCATCTCAAGGGAGACATGAACCTGCCTGCATCTCAAGGGAGACATGAACGTGCATTTGAGTCGACTCAAGAGCTCAGCGAGAGAGTTAGCGCATGAGGGCGAGCGTGGTTTGAGCGTGTGAGTGAGCGAGCTGGCACCAGAGACGTGGAGAAATGCAAGTATGTCCGTGAGTGAGTGAGTGAGTGAGTGAGTGAGTGTGTGAGTGAGTGAGCGAGGGAGAGCGTGGGTGAGGGCGTGAGTGCACGAGTGAGTGAGCAGGTGAGGGGGCGAGTGAGTGAGGGGGCGAGTGAGTGAGTGGGCGAGTGAATGAGGAAAACGCACCTGTTCAGGATGGTCGAGTTTTCGAGTGAGTGAGTGAGTAGCCACATGCTCCCTTAACCTTGCCCGCCGATCAAAAGCCTTGCCACATGTCTTGCAAGTATGCCGCTTCTCATGCCCCCCTCCCCCCTCTCCACCTCCCTCTCCCTCTCCCTTTCCCTCTCCTTCTCCTCCGCCTCCCCTTTCTCCCTCTCCTTCTCCACCGTGTCTTTCCCCTCCTCTCTGCCTCTCCCTCCCTCCCCTCCCTCCATCGTCAAGCCTTCTTCCTTCCCACTCTCACCAGATAACTCGTTAATATCCCGCCACCTACTATCTCCCCTTCTCTCCCTCTCCTCCTCCCCTTCGTCAAGCTCTATTGGAACCTCCTGCACATCATCCTCCTCTCCTCCCTCACACTCCCCCTCACTCTTCCCCCTATACTCCCCTACACACTCCCCCACACACACCACTTCATACTCCTCCCCATCCCCATCTTCATTCACCTCTCCCCCCTCCCCCACCTCTTGCGCCTCCCCCACTTCTCCATCCCCCACCTCACCACCAAACCCCCCATCACCACTCCCTCCGTCTCACCGCCCCATAGGCTCTTCCCCTCAGGCCCCCCTCCCCCCTCCCCCGAGCTTCCCCCTTCTTCCGCCACATCCATCCCCTTTTCACCTCCCCCCTGCCCACCCTCAACCGCTACTTTCTCAACCCGCGGAACCCATTCCGCCTGCGCGGCTTCAAGCGGAAGCTTCGCGTCATTCCCCTGCGCGTATACAGGCGGAACCGGCGGAACCGCTGCGTCATCCCGCAGCTGCGCGGGAACTGGCAGAATAGGCGGAACCTCCAAGCCATTCCGCTGCGCCGGACAAGGCGAGAATCGCCGCGCGTAGCACTGGAAATGCGGCGGGCCGACCCGCGGATTCTCGCGTCCGAATGGCCCGCATGTACCCGTTATAAGGTGTACGCAGTCCCGCGAGTCCATTCCCGGTTTATCTACAGAACACTACCAGACGTGAATTTATCTCGCGGATTGGCGTGGGGCGGTACTGACGGGCCGATGCGGAACGGCGCAGCAATGCGGAACGGCGCAGCAACGCGGAACGGCGCAGCAACGCGGAACGGCGCAGCAACGCGGAACGGCTGGGTGACGGCGGGACAATGCGGTACTGACGGGGCGACGCGGAACGGCGCAGTGTACCCTATATTCTTATTACACCTGCAGCGGCGAACAATTACTAACGGTTTCGTATAATCACACCCGCGCGCGCTATACCTAGCCCTGCGCAATGCAGAGCTTACTCTATCGCACCTGCAAATGGGCCCCTTACTAAAAGCATAGTAATATCACATCCGCGCGGTATACCTGGCCCGCGCAATGCAGCGCACACTCTATCAGCCTACGCGCTATACTGCTGACGATAATGTATAACTTCCCTTGCACCTCCTATATCGAACCCGTTCAAGCTGCCCGCAGCGCAACTTAGAGTATCGATAGTGCTGAGCATAGAAACTAGGCAGAACGCGAATGCTGAGGAATATGCGCCGCATTTTAGTTGCGACAATGACTACCCCGCGTTGAGGAGTGCTGGGGTAGAAAACATATGCAAAAGCATTTGGTACAGATACATACAAACAATTTTCAAACAGGGTGAATATTTTGAAAGGGGGGGATTCGAGCTGCGGCACCTACATCACTTAAACGAGCTCGATTAAGGTCTAAAGTTTTCAAGAGCGAAATCATCCGAGCACTAAAGAAGAAAAGAATAACAGAGCAGGCCACACAACACAACCTCCTTTACAAGATGCAATACAGTGGGAGCGCTCCATGATAACAAAAGGTTTTTGAGACATTTAGATGTCTCAAAAACCAACATGCAGTGCACCGGGGGCGAGGGGGCACTCCTTCCAGTGCATTGCCAAAGCGCAGACATAGAGTAACGAACTGCTCCTATGCATACCCAGCTTCTCCAATCCTAGTGATGCCTGTCTGCCTGTGTAGATATCTCCTCTCTGATCACTGACATTGGACTATACAAAGATATTCCAACACCTAACACTTGATCCTCCCAGCCATCCTGCAATCTCTCCTTTTCCTTCCCTAGGACCATGCCCCCTCCTCTCGTTTCCTTCCCTTTCCCTTCCCTCCGTCCATTCAGCCGCATCCCCACCTCCTCACCTTCCACTCACCACTCCCCCCTTCCACTCACCACTCCTCCCCCTCTAGAGTTGAGCATGAGCCCCGTTCGGGTCGGGCCGACCCGACCCGACCCGTGTATTTTCACGCGTCGGGTCATATATTCGGGATCCCAGCCCCGAGCGGGCCGACCCGGCCCGACCCGCGCAATGGCTCGACCCGAGGGGCAATTTCGGGTCGGGCCAGACGCGCGACCCGATTTCGATAGGGCTAGGGCCGAAACCCTAGCCCTAATGTAAATCGATCGAGGCATTTTCTCCCCCGATCGATTTACATTCGCTTCACCAGTCACGCTAAGCCAGCAGCAGCACTTCCTAAGTACCCCCCCTTAGCTACCAATTAACTAAGGCATCACCCGATAGTATGATACTCCTTTATTTATACTTATAGAAACACGTTTTAGGCAGCTTAGTACATTTCGCCGCGGTCAGCTTGGTAGTCTTTAGGGTTTCCGAACTTCAAGCGTTTTTTCTACTTCCATTCAAGCCTACATCTACCATGGCGTTTCCAAGATATTAGACTAGTTCATCCACACCCGCTGCTCCATTCCGCATTTATTTAACGTCACCCGACTGCACTGTGACGGTGGCTCCACGCGCACGCGGCTCGGTTTGTTCCGTTGCGTAGCGATTTTAGGCGTGTACAATGTCAGGCGCGGACGAAACTCCAGCGAGCTCCTCGCGGATTCCCGGATTTTCTCTTGCGGCCGTCGGTGTGACATCATTCGGTGGGGAGGGGTTCCAGTTGGGCCAGCTCTCCCCTGGTGCTGACCCGGTGGACCATGAAGAGGCCATTGCGGCGCAGCGCGCTTCGGAGGAGGAGCGATGGCAGAAGGCAATGGACGATATGCGTGCTGAGCGGCAGCAGTCGCCAACTGAACGTCGTGACCCGACATGGACGCCGGGTAACGCGGATGCTGACGCTGCGAGTGACGGGGAAAGCGGTGGCGAGGATGGCGGGGACCGTGTGGGACAGAAGAGAGCACGTCAGGGTGGAGTCGCAGTACCTACTGCCGTGTCCGCTCCAGCTGGTGTCGCGCCTGCGGCTGCCGCTACTGCTGCTCCCGCTACTGCTGCTCCCGCTACTGCTGCTGCTGCTACTGGTGCGGCGGCTCCTGCTGCTGCTGGCCGTCCGCCCTCTTCTACTCCTGCAGCTGCTCGTGCTCGCGCTGTCAGACGCCCTCGCGCTACTGCTGCTGCTGCTGCTGCTGCTGCTGCTGTGGCCACTGATGGCTCGCGCCGCATTGGTGTTCCCTGGGCTACTATCAATGCGATGCGGGAGGCCAACATCCAGCCGACGGACGCTGACCTGGATCCGATCGTGGAGGCAGCCCTGTGTAGGGGTGAGCCGGGCTTGGTGAAAGGCATGTTCGGGGCGTTGAACAACGACTCCCGGCGATGCCTCATGTGCAACACGGTGATTGGTTGGCGTTTAGGCAACACTAGCTCGGGGGCCAGGCATGTGAAGCGGACGCACTATCCTAGCCTTCAGATTTGGGTCCGTCGCTTTCTGGACCCCAACAAGCCTGATTCACTAGCTTTCCGGGATGGGGGTTGGGGAGCTACAGTTCCGGATAGGACGAAGTGGCCGTGGGAGCACGCTGCCACATGGCCTGACATGCCGGCAGCAGAGACGGGGGCCGGGCCGAGTGGGTTGACCGGAGGAGCTGCCGTCCCGAGTTGGAGAGCGGCAGCTGCGCGAGGGCTTGGTCATGCTGTTCGCCGGCCTTGACATGTCATTCCGTTCTGTTGACAGGCCAGCGGTAAGCATAGTGCGCGTTTCCTTCTGTTCTGGCGTTGGATCGAATATACGTTGACATACTATGCTTATCTCCTGCCACCACAGTCTCCATCCTCTCCCAACCATGTTTCTGTCCCACCTCATATATGGCAGTTTCGTGACTTCGTGACGCTGCTTAACCCCGACGCGGCACAGTATCTCGGTAACCGGTTCCGCCTTGCGCGGGACCTGCTGTCAGCGGCCGAGACGGCTAGGGCTCAGCTGCGACAGCTGTTGACGGGCGACGGTTTGGCGGGGCGGGTGACACTCACCACGGACATATGGACTAGCGAGAACAACGTCGCCTTCATGGTGGTGACTTCTCACCGAGTGACCTCGGACTTCCAGCTGCATTAGATGGTGATCGACTTCCGGCCGCTGGAGGGCCGTCACACGGGGGATAAGATTGCGAAGGAGCTGGAGGAGGTCATAGGGGAGTGGGCGTTGGGTGGTGGTGAGTTCTTCGGCGTGACGACGGACAACGCCGAGAAGAACAACCGGGCGATTCGTCTGCTTTGCGGCGTGGCAGACGAGACACCGGGCTCGCGTCCGTGTGACCCTCCCGTCATGTCCCTGGCTCGGCACTTCAAGTGAGTGCCATCAACTCTTGCTATAAGTGTCCTTGCGCGGACCTGGCAAAGTCAATTTCCAACTGACCCACACAACCAAAGAGGATCATACCCATTTGTTCATACCCATTTGACCCTCCAGATGTGTAGCGCACGTCCTGAACCTCGCAGTGCAGCACACGATCAAGATCGAGCCGGTGGCCGAGGCGCTCCGGAGGCTCCGGGCTGTGGCTAGCTACATAGGGTGGTCGGTGCAGCGGTCGGAGCGTTTTTTTGACATCCAGAAGCGGTACGCTGCGACCGTCGCGGGGACGCAGGCAAAGGAGGGGGCGGAAGAGGACGGGGAGAGGCAGGCAGAGGGGGGCACTGCCGAGGAGGGGGCGAGGGGGGCAGATGGTGGCGGCACTGGGCGCAAGAGGCCTACTGACCTGCGCTTGATCGTGGACTCGGACACGCGCTGGGGTTCTACGCTGGAGATGGTGGTGAGGGGGTGTGAGCTGTCAATCCCTCTCACGATGTACTTCGACGAGTCGTCCATCGTAAGTGTGGGATCACCATGCTCCATCCCATCCCCACCCCATGTTGGATACAATGTGCTTATATCGAATGTTTCCCCCGTCATGTCCCGTGGCCTCACGACCCCACCCAACCCCATGACGTCGGCATTCTGTTTCCCAATGTGACCAATTTCACCGACACACCATCTCCATACCATAATCTGAACCATGTGCTTATATCAAATGGTTGCCCCATGCATGACACTTGGCAACTCAACCCCTCGCAACCACATCTCGTCGTTGGTTTTTCCCATCCCTTCACTCCTCCCCCCTCTCAGCCCAACATCAGGCAGACCACACGCACGGCCTGGGCTGAGATCAGGCTTTCGGACGCCCACTGGACTGCTCTCAACGAGCTGCGGGCTTTCCTGGAGCCGTTTGACAGCATCACCCTGTTCGTGGAGGGGTCTTTGTACCCCACCATGGGAGCGGTGGTGCCGCAGTACAACATGCTCCTCGACATCCTTGAGGCGAACAAAGTTTCGCCCTTCGTCTCGCAGCTGTTCAGGGACCTCTCAACCCGGGCCTTGACCAAGCTGGAACGTCACATGGGGAGGGTGAGCGAGGAGTGTGCGGTTGCCACCTTCCTCGATCCTCGGCTCAAGACGGCAACCTTCAGGCTCAGGGCCCGGGGGGCGAGACCTACTGCGCCAGTTGTGGTGGCGGCGGGGGGGCATGCCATGGGTGCCAGGACTCTCGACCTGACCGAGGAGAGGGTGAAGGCGCTCGTGCGTGAGCGCCTTCCACCCTACCAGATAGCAGCCCGTGCAGCGGCAGAGGCGCGCCTTGGGGGTGAGGTCACGAGCGCTAGAGGAGTGACGGGGGAGGGCGCGGAAAGGAGCGGGGCTGCAGAGCGCAGGAGTGCCAGGTCGCGTGGCGTGCTGGACTTTCAGGCAAGGCTGTTCGCTGAGTTGGCCGAGATGGAGGCAGAGGAGGGGGTGCGGGCACAGGACGAGGTGGACCAGTACCTAGCTGAGGCGAGGCAGGAGGGTGGGTGCGCCTTAGCGTACTGGCGCGGGAGGGAGCTGCAGCTGCCCGGGCTTAGGGCCTTGGCACGCGATTATTTGGGTATCCCGGCCACGTCTGCAGCGAGTGAGCGAGCCTTCAGTCAGAGCAGGAATATCATCTGGTGGCAGTGGCACCGTCTGAGCCCACAGCAGATGCGTGCGGCCATGATGATCAAGACTTGGCAGGATCACCACCCTCACCAGAGGCTTGAGGTCCGTGGTGGCAGGACCACGATTGCGCAGCTGTGCCTTGAGGCAGAGCAGCTGGGGTTGTGAGAGCCGGCTGCCAGGGGAGAGCTGCTGCGGGGTCTTTTGTCGTTGTGATTGTGGTGGTTTTGCAGCTTCCTAGTTATTACACACGTCCTTGTACTTGTGGTACCTTGCTTTGACAGTTGCTGTTTTGGGGTTTTTATTAGAAGACATGCATGTTGTTTGCAGGTACTATTTGCACTTGTTGGGGCATACCCTTTGGGAAACCTAATTGCATTGATCTTGTTTCGTAGTGTCTTTACAATGTCGCCACCCCTAGACTATTTTACAACTCATTGCTACTGTTGTATTGCTTGCTAAACCAGCCCACCTGGAGGTGGTGTAAAAATCAGTCTTATAAAAATAGAGTAACAACAAGTCTATTGATACAAATGTACAAATCAAGGGGAGAACCCCCACCCTCCCACTAAGGGGGCGGGTCAACCTGGCCCGACCCGGCCCGACCCGAACTCGGGTCCCTCTTGACCCGAGTCAGTAGGCTCGGGTCGGGCCAGCAGTTTGGGGAGTCTGGCCCGAGGTCGGCCCGACCCGACCCGACCCGAGGGCCCGTATGGCCCGGCCAAATCGGGTCGGGTCGGGTCGGGCCGGGTCAAATGCTCAACTCTCCACTCACCACTCCTCCCCTTCCACTCACCACTCCCCCCTTCTCTTTTCATCCTTCACCACCCCCTCTCCTCCCTCCACCCTACACCGCACCCCCCTCCTCTCCCTCCATCTCTCACCCCAACCACTGTTCTATCTCATCCTTCACCACCCCTCGCCTCCCTCCATCCCCCGCCAACTCCACCCCCTCCGTATCACCCACCCCAACCCCTCTTCCAGAACCACGAGAACGCACAGAGCGACGACTCAGGCGATCCCTTTGAATCTGAGTGCGCCCCTCTGCACCACTCACCACCACCTCCCTCCGCGAACCACGAGAACGCACAGAGCCACGATTCAGGTGATCCCTCTGTCTTCGCGTGCGCCTAACCTGAAGCTCCAGGTGCTGCCTTTTTCGTTTCAGGTGGTTCTCCTTGTCGTTCAGGTGCTCGTTCTGCTGCCTCAGGTGCTCCTCCTGCTGCCTCAGGTGCAAATCTTGTTGCTCCCTCTGTTCCCTTAACTGAACCTCCTGTTGTCTCAGGTGCTCGTTCTGTTGCTTCAGGTGCTCCTCCTGCTGCCTCAGGTGCAACTCTTGCTGCTCCTTCTGTTCCCTAATATGGTCCCCTTGCTGTCTCAGGTGCGCTTTCTGTTTTTCCAGGTGTTCTTCCCTCTGACTCAGGTGGACCTCTTCCTCCTTCAGGAGCTTCTCCTTCCGCCTCAGGTGCTTCTTCTCTGTTGCCTTCAGGTGATTCCTCAGCTTGCGTCGCCGCCCCTTCCTCCCCACAAAATGATGCACCTTCGTGCTCAGGTACCTCTTCTGCTGCCTCAGGTGATTTTTCAGGTGGCCTCTCCTGTAACCAGCGCCCTCCCCCTCAATGACTCCTCCAACACGCCTTCGCTTTCTAATCGCCCTTTCCTTTTGAAACAACCTTCTTCCACGGGCCTTACTCGCTGCTGCACGATCGTTGCTCCTGCACCTCTTTCCAATGCTTTGTGGTGACTTAAACCAAGCCCCAACTCCCCCTACCCCCACATCTTCCCCCAACCCCTCATCTCCCCCCAACCCCGCATCTTCCCCCAACCCCGCATCTTCCCCCACCCCCGCATCTTCCCCCACACCCCCATCTTCCCCCACTTCCTCCCCCTTCACCACTGGACCATCCACGTCACACCCTTCCTCCTCCTCCCCCTCCACCTCACACTCATGCCCTCCCCCGCTGTCCCCAGCAGTTCCCCCCTCCCCTCTCCCTCCCCCACTGCTCCCAGCAGCTCCCCCCTCCTGTCCCCCCCCTCCATACGCACTCCCCTCCGCTCCCCCCCAAGGCTGCCGCCACCCTCCCCCACTCCCGCCCCCATCCCCCCCCTCCGCTCTTCCTCCCCCAACCGCGCTGCCCTTCCCTTGAAACGGCAGCATCGCTGCCATCCCCCTGTGGTCCTCCCCCCCAGGAGGGAGCGGATGGGGTATTAACCCCTGCTCTTCATCCCTCTCCTCCCCTCTCCTTCCCTCTTCATCCCTCGCCTCCCCTCTCCTTCCCTCTTCATCCCTCTCATTCCCTCCCCTTCTTCCTTCATCCCTCTCCTCCCCTCCCCTTTCCTCTTCGCCCCTCTCCCCCTCGCTCCTTCTTTCTTCATCACTCACTGCACTCGTTCTCTTCTCACCTTCGTGCTCCCCTTCCCGCCTAAAAGCCTCCTCGTTCCTCTCCTCCTCCCTCCTTCCCTGTTCGCCCCTCTCATCCCCCTTCGTTCCCTCTTCTTCCCTCTCCTCCCTCCTCGCATCTTCTTCCCTCTCCTCCTCCCTCCTCGCATATTCTTCCCTCTCATCCTCCCTCCTCGCCTCTTCGCCCCTCTCCACTCTCCTTCCCTCCTCCCCTCTGAAAAAATCAGCCTTCTTCTCGCGTCCATGCCTCCCCAGCACTCCCCCATGCGCACCCTTAATCCCGCCCCCATTACCCCCCTCCCCACCAGACACACCAATTACCCCGCCCCTACTTCCCCCCTTCCCCCCATGCTGCGCCCTTGCATGCTGGAAGTGGTCTCCATTCTTCCCTTCCTGATGCTGCTGCTTCTTTTCATGCTGCTGCTTCTTTTCATGCTGCTGCTTCTTTTCATGCTGCTGCTTCTTTTCATGCTGCTGCTTCTCCCCACTTCCTTCCCTCCCCCCATGTTGCGCCCTTGCATCCTGTACCATGTCCCCACTCCCCCCCTCCTGACAACGCTGCTTCCTTGCACGCTGCAGCTTCTCCCCACTCCCCCTCTTCTCCCCATGCTGCTGCTTTGCATGATACAACATGTGGTCTCGGCGCTTGAAGGTTCGAGAGCAGTGGGGATGAGGGCACGGGTGCTGGTGAATACCGGAGAGAGTGGGGTTGGGGAAGAGAACAGGTCACGGAGATTTGAACAGCACCAGATAGACCGCAATGTAGCTTCCTTGCAATTAGACCAATCAGACTGCTGATTTTGAGGCGCCTCAAAACTAAATTTGAACAGCACCAGTTAGACCGCAACGAGGTTTCAGAGAATAAAACCTTGCAATCAGGCCAATCAGACTAGTGACGGCAGTAAACCCCATGTCTCCTTGATAGAAGCAGAACCAGAGCCCAAGAGACGTTGAGACATTGTAGGAGAGGCGAGAGAGGGAGGATGGGTGAAGAAAGAGAGGGGGATGGGAAGGGAAAGCGCAATACGGACAGGGAAGGACGGGGGAAGGGGAAGAGGACAAGGAGGGAGTGGGAGGAGAGAAAGAGGAGGAGTGAGAGAGTAAGGAAAAGGGAGAGGAAAGGGAACAGGAGGATGAGGAAAGGTAACAGGGAGAAGAGGAATGGGGAGAGGGGGAAGAGGGAAGGAGAAAAGGGGAATGGGGAAGGTGGTGGAGAGCGAGGAGGAGAGAATGAGTGAGGAAAACTTACCCGAGGAGCATCAGGGTTGTGCACTAGAAGGTGCCTCGTTAACCAGCAGTTAAGTGCGAATGCCTTTGAGCAATTTTCATGCGGGCACACGAACTGCAGTGGGCAAGGGAAGGAAGAGAGAATTCTTGCGCCTATTCTTTGAGCCGTGTTCATGCGGACGGACACACCAACTGATGCAGTGGACGGGACGAGGCAATGAGGGAACAAGGGGACGAGGGGACGAGGGTAAGACTGGAAAACATGTGGAGCCGGGATAAGGAAAAAGGAGCCGTGAGGGGGTGTGAGAAAGACTTTTGAGTCGACTCAAAAGTCAACTCAGGAAAACATGTGGAGGCAGGATCATGGACAAGGCGCCCTGAGGGGGTGTGAGAATTAAGGGAGAGATGAATGAGTGTGTGAGCAAATGAACGAGCAAAGTGTGTGAGCAAATGAACGAGCAAAGTGAGTGAGTGGTCGAGAGAGCAAGAGATTTAGTGATTGAGTGAGAGAGTGAGGGAGTGAGTGAGTGAGTGAGTGAGAGAGTGAGTGAGGGAGTGAGAGAGTGAGGGAAATACACCTGCTTTGAGTGGGTGGCCATATGTTTCTTTGAACTTTTCTTTCTGAGAAAACGCATTCCCACACTCCTCACAATGCAGCATCTTTGCATGCCGCTGCATGTTGCCTCGATGACTGAAGGTCCATGGGCAGTGGGGATGAGGGCATGGGTGCTGGTGGTTTGGGGGTGGGAGGTGGGGGGTGGGGATAGAAAACAGGGAGAGGAAACACAAGACGCCTTGATAAAGCCCCAATGCAGCATCTTTCCATGCCGCAGCATATTGCCTCGGTGATTGAAGGTCCAAGAGCAGTGGGGATGAGGGCATGGGTGCTGGTGATTGCGGGGAGGGTGGGGGCGGGGATAGAAAACAGGGAGGGGACATACGAAACGCATTGCTTAAGCCGCAATTTTCGCTTACGCTAAGGAAGGAGTACAGGAAAGGGACGGGGAAGTGGACAAGGATTAGGAGGGAGCGAGAAGAGAGGAAGAGGAGGAACGAAATAGGAGGAAGATAGAAACGGGGAGTCGGGAATAAGGGAGGGGGACGACAGAAGCGAAAGGGGAAGAGGTAAGGAGGAAGAGGAAAAAGGAGCAAACAAGGGAGGGGGAGAGATCGAGGGCAGCTTACTTGGGGGGCATCGGGGAAAATGCTGGGGTTGTGAAGGAGAAGATGCTCCTTCAACTTGTGGGAACGGAGAAGGGGGGATGGGAAGGGGAGAGGGGAAGGGGGAGGGAGGGGTGGGGTGGGAGGAATGGGATTTGGAAGGAGAGAAGGGGCGAGAGAAGCTCACCTGGGGGGCATTGGAGTTGTGAACGAGAAGGTGTTCCTTCAACTTGTACTTGAATGCGAAAGCCTTTTGGCAGTTGGCATGCGGACAGACGAACTGCAGTGAACGGGGCGTTAAGGGATGGAAAAAGGAATGCAGTGAAACAACTCGCACCTATTCGACCGCACTGCTGCTTCCTCAGATGCTGCTTCCTTGGCGATTGGCATGTGGAGAGACGAACTGCTAAGGACGAGGCAAGAAGGGATCGAGGGGACGGAACGAGAAATAAACGAGTAGGAAAGCGTGAGATAAAGGGAGAGAGTGAGTGAGTGTGCGATTGAGTGAGCAATAAGTGAGTGAGTGAGTGAGTGAGTGAGTGAGTGAGGGAGGGAGGGAGGGAAGCACACACACCTTCTTCGAGTGGGTGGCCATGTGATTCCATAACCTTGCCGATAGAGAAAACGCCTTTCCACACTCCTTACACGTGTAGTCATGCCCCACCCTCTCCCTCTCCTTCTTCCCCTTCCTCTCCTCTTTCTCCTTCTCTTTCTCCTTCCCCTCCCCACTCTCCTTCCCCTTCCCCTTTGGCTTTCCCCTCTTCACCTTATCTGCCCCCCTCTCTCCCTCCTGCCCCTCCACCTCCCTTGTCGGCCTTGTATATTTGTCCCTCTCCTCCCCACTCTTACAGAGTAACTCCTTAATATGACGCACTTTACCATCACATTCTCTGTTCTCCCCCACTGTCACTTCCCCAACACCCTCTTCGTCCTCTCCTATCCACTCCACATAGCCCTCATCCCCATCCCCATCTCCCCCCACCTCTCCCCACACCCGCGCCTCTTCCCCATTTCCCATGCGACCACCCTCCATCCCACCACCATCACCCGCCACCACTCCTCCCTCTGCCCCACCCCCACCTCCAACTAGCACTCCTCCTCCCTCCCTCCCACCACCCCATAACTCCCTCCTGCCGCCTCCCCCGCGACATCCCCCTGTTTCCACCGCATCCCTCCCCTTTTCCCCTCCCCCCTGCCCAGCTTCCCCCGCTGCTCCCCCAACCCGCGGAACCCCTTCCCCCCTCTGCGCGGGAACGGGCGGAAGCTCCGCGCGATTCCGCTGCGCCAGGCGAGGCGAGAACCGCCGCGCGTAGCACCGCAGAGGCGGCGGGCCGTTCCGCGGATTCTCAAGTCCGAGAATCACGCTGATGCCCGTTGGAAGGCCGCTTGCATCCCGCCGCAATTCCATCACGAATCTGCCGACCGTCCCACGAGAGTTTATTACGCCCTCTCGCGCGCACCAAACTCCACGTGAAACTACTCCCGAGGTGACAACCAAGTCGATTGGTATTAAGTCCCTTTCTACCACCCTCGACCGAGGGTATAAGTCACTACACCCTCAGGTCGCGCAACGGACGATTACACAGTCACTCCACGGTGGATCTATTAATATCGACGGAGCAGTGTAACCGACGTAGTGGTGTGTAACGGCGCCCCGATAATATCACACCCGCGCGCAGTTTCATCACGTCCCCCCTCTGTACCGAATTCCCCCTCGTGTCATATGCGAAGCCCCGCGCAATATACCGGCCTCGCGCCGTGCGTCAAACGTGACTCTGGATATCACTCTATATTCTCCCCCTCCCACCCATGCTCTAGAGGGAAGAGATCCGCACGGCGGCGGGAAAAACGTGACCGCTGGTGTGTCAGATAGAGATATACAAGGTGAAGAAGAGACGCGGCGAATAGCTCGCACGTTCCGAATTCGCGCCCACGTGTCAACACAGGCCAGCATGAGTAGTAATTTCACATCCATCGATCGACATTAGTGCTGCGACATTGGCTGCCCCGCGCTGCTGGTGAAAAGATTCACCTGGAAATGCAAATTCGAAGGGAACATGTTATAAATTATGCACAACATACGGTAGTCTATTTTCAAATGGGGGAGTGAGGGGGAAAAGTTGAGGTACGGTACAACACAATTTCAGCTGGCTCAGGTTCGGAAATCTGGCTACACGGCTTCTTATAAGAAATCTGTCTTGCATAGTAGTACAAGCACAAAATAAGAATTAATAATACTCATTATTTCTATGGAGTTATGTCGGGGTGGGACTTGGACCGTGGCATGGGAGCTTCTCCATCTTGACCCCTTTCAGCTGCTTCAGCCCACATGGTAGAACCGGCATGAGGGCACAGCGATCATGCTCTCTCCATGCTATTTTGTCTTGTGAATCTATGCTAGTCAACCCAAAGATCATCACTTGGTTATGCCAGGGTGGGGCGTGTGGCGTGGATGCTTCTCCCGCTTGTCCCCTTTCAGCTGCTTCAGCCCATGGGGCAGAGCCGGCATGAGAGCAGCCAGGCATTCTGACACCGCGTTGGGGTTTCCGGGCAGGTTCAGGATCTGATGGGGGACATGGTGAGTGGGCAAGTGGGACCAAGAGGAGGGATTAAGGCGGCAGTGAAAGCACAAGAGCAGCCAGGCACTCTGAAACCGCGTTAGGGTTGCCTGGCAGGTTGAGAATCTGAGGGGGGAATTGTGGGTGGGTGGGTGGGTGGGTGGGTGGAGTCAAAGGAAGTGATTACGGTGGCTGTAAAGGCATGAGAGCAGCCAGGCACTCTGAAACTGCGTTGGGGTTGCTTGAAAGATTCTTGCATCATGCACCCATGCATCCTTGCATGGCATCTCAGTAGAGATGCCTGCAGCCTGCAGCCATAGACACATGCATCATGTACCATCCACCCACCCATGATACCGTGTATGTCATGCACCCATGCACCCATGCACACATGCTGTTACGCCATCTCACCAGAGTGGAACCCCGAATTCCTGCAGCCATGCGCGAGAGCATGGCAAAGGGGGTGATCTGCGGGGGAAAACGAGAGGAGAACGAAAGGAGGACACATTAACGATGGAGAAAGGCAAGTGAGAGAGAGAAAAAGATGTCATCAAGGAACGAATATCATTTCAATCTGAAACTCCCCAACATACCCTGAGGCTCTCCTGCAGCATGGCATGGGTGAGGCCCGGTGCAGAGCGGTGGAAGAGCGGTGCACAAGCCTCAGGGGTGACATCCCGGGGAGAGAACCCTGTGCCTCCTGTCGTTATAATCACATCCACTGCTCCAACAGTAGCACCAACTCTACCACTACTGCCCCCATCAGCAGCAGCAGCAGCACCAGTGCTCCCATCAGTTGACGCAGAAATTTCTTCCCCATCTGCCCACGCCTTGACCTGCGCTGCTATCTTGTCTGGGTCGTCTGGAACGACAGCTGTCGCCACCACTGCTGCTGCTGGCAGCAGTATCTGCACTGCCTGCACTGCCCTGGGACCACTGGGAGAAGTGGGAGGGAGGGAGGGAGGGAGGAGGGAAGAGGCAGGAGCACAGGGAACGCTGAAAGTGCGTTGGGTTGTCGTGAAGGTTGAGCAGTTGGAAGGGTGCATTGTTGGGACCAAGGGAAGGGGGGGGGAAGAGTTAGCGGTTTGAAAAAGGTTCCAGATGCTCAAATGGAAGGGCCAGGAGAAGGGGAAGGAGCGAACAATCAACCTTTATTTTGAGTCTGTGTTGAGCTCACCTGGCGTCTGCTGCTAGGCCTGCTGCCACCGTGTCACTGACAGTCAGAATCGCCACCCGCACACCCGCACCCACAGTGGAGGCAGCAGAACCGGCAGGAGAAGGAGAGGAAGCAGCAGCAGCAGCAACAGCAGGGGCAGAAGCAGCAGCGCTTTGCTTATGCCCATGCCCATGCCCATGCCCATGACCACGCCCACCCCCATGGCTGCAACCACAACCATGCTTCTCCCCCTCCTCTTCCTCCCCTCCCCCTCTCACAGGCCCCCCTCCTTCCGTCCTCCCCACTGCCATCCCAGGAACTGCCAGGCACGCAGCAGCATCTGGCAGCAACAGCGCCGAGACAAGAGAGCCAGCAGCGAGGGAACCGGTTGCCTGGGGTAGCTCAAGCAGGCAGTGCGCTGAGCGCATGGAGAGGAGCCGGCTGCTTATCTGCCTGCCTGTGCTGTCCGCTATGAACCCAGAGACAGCGGCGGAGGAGGGAGGAATAGACGTAGCAGCTGAGGCAGCAGCAGTAGGGGAGGCGAGGGCAGCAGGTACGTTGGGTTCCCAGCGGAGGGACGCCCGGTGGTACTCTGGGCGCTCTGGATCGAGGCGGAGAGCAGAGGAGATGTGGGCCTGCACCCTGGTGGATGGGGGAGGAAGAGGTGTGCAATGGGATGCAGTGCGGTGCATTAACTCCTGCAATGTGTAGTTCCCAGCGGAGGGATGCTCAGTGGTACTCGGGACGCTCAGGGTTGAGGCGGAGGGATGTAGAGATGTGCGCCTGCACCCTGGGGGATGGGTGGAATAGAGGAGTGCAATGGGATGCAGTGCCTCAGGTGGCACTCAGGTGCCTCAGGGTCGAGGCGGAGAGCAGAGGAGATGTGCGCATGCACCCTGGAAGATGGGGGACGACGGGATGGAACGAGGGCAATGCGATGGAGAGCGGTGCATTAATGTCTGGAAGGTGTGGTGTGGTGTGGTTGCTCCCAGCAGAGGGAGCAAGCGAAGGGAAGAGCAGCGGTGCTAGGTGAGGTGAGCACCACCCCCTTGCCTAACTCCAACCATCTCCACTGTCTCGTTCTCTCTATTGTCTCTCTATTAGTTGTCATTCACCCTTTCCCCCCTGTCGGCTATGTCTCCCTCCCCCCTTCCACAATTCCCGTCCCTCTCCCCCCCTTCCCTTCCTTACCTGTGCAGCAGGGGTTGACGCCACCCCCCATCTGTCGTAGAGCGGGCAGCACAAACAGGTTGAAGCACACCATGCAGCTGACCGGATTCCCGGGCAGCCCGAAAACAATCGTTCGGTGCGGCTGGGTGGCGCCGTCCGTCTTATCTGAAGGGGTTTCGATGGTTGCAAAGGTGAGCGGTTTTCCCGGCTTCATGTGTACCTGACGAAGAGGAGAGGGGAGGAATGGTGGGGGAGAGAGGAGGGAGGGGAGAATGAAGAGGGAAGGTACAAGGGAGAGGAGGAAAAAAAGTAAAAAGGTAGGGAAGAAAGGGAAGGAGGGAATGTGAGCAAGCAGCACCCACTCACCCGCCCAAAGTGCACGGTTCCCAGCCTCTCCAGCAGCGGCTTGACAAGGTCCCTGTCGCCCATTGATACCCCTCCAGGCGCCACCACCACATCCGCCCTCGCTGCCAACACAGTCACTGCCCCCTCTGCCACCACTCGAACCGTCACTCACCCAGCAAAACAGCACCCACTCACCCGGCCAAAGTGCACGGTCCCCAGCTTCTCGAGAAGAGGCTTGACAAAGCCCCTATTCCCCATGGACACTCCTCACAGGAAACCCACTCACCCGCCCGAAATGCACAGTGCCAAGCCTTTCCAGCAGCGGCTTGACAAAGTCCCTATCGCCCATGGACACCCCTCCAGACGCCACCACCACATCCACCCTCGCTGCTAGTGCTCGCTCAAATGCTGCTGTCACTGCCTCCTCTGTATCCGCTGCTATCCCCAGATCCATAGGGGGAGGGCAGCTTGCTCCTGATGCTGCTGATGCTGCTGCTGCTGCTCCTATGTGTTGCCGCACAGCAGCAAGCAGCATGGATCGATTGGCATCCCTTATCTGTCACGCCAATAGTGAGGGAAAAGGAATGAGAAAATAGGAATGTGATGAAATGCGGGGTGTTATCCCCACAAGGGTGAGCGGGAGCAGGAGATGATGGTGAGACGAGTTGGTGGGGCGGTGCAATGTGGGGCATATGCATGATATGAACAAACTCCACGTGGGGTTTCTGAGCTAAAATGATCCGGTTCCCATGTGTGCCATGCTATTGTGCAGGGCGATTCACCATGCCGCGAGGGAGAGTGGCGCTGGAATTCTGTGCAGGGTCTATGAGCTCATCGCCTGTAGAGAGGACTGCCACTAGAGGCTGCCGGTGCACCTGATGGGCCAGGGCGGAGTGGGAATAATAAGAGAGGGATAACAAGAAAGGCGAATTGATGAGCATTGGAGATGGTAGAGGAGGGACCCTGCAACCCATGGCATGATGAGCAAGCCAACCCATGCGCCACAGTGCACACAGTCGTTTGTTCAGTTGATTCCATCCAGAGCCAAAAGGAACACAGCAAGATGGGCAAGGCAAGGCACTCACGTGCACGCGAGCTGCTCCCACGGTTGCCAGCAGTCCTAATTCCGCTGGCCCAAGCTGCTCCCCTGCCTGCAGCACCACCGTACCCGCTGCCAGGTCCGAGCCCTGGAGAGAAGCAGGATGAGAGAAGATGGAATGGAGTATATCAACAATCACATAGCTTTTTCCATTAATCAATCAGGAAATTTTCCACGTTTCCTCTTCCCGGATTCCAATACAGAGGAGGGTGCAATTCCTAGGCACGCACCACAGGGCGGATGTCTTGCCCCACTGTAGCGCCCTTCACTATAGTCACACGCCTCTGGCCGCTGGAGGGGTCAACAGGAAGAGTGTCCTCCACTTGAATCACCGCGTCTGCACCCTGGGGAACCGGGCCTGAGAGGGGGGGGGAGAGAGCGGGAGAAAGAAAGAAAAATTATGCACATTGACCATGATTTGTCGGAGAACACGGTGTACATAAATTGATTATCAAATACATAGCTCATGCAGAATGCATACCCCTTGGAGAACACGCACCTCCAGTGGTGATGTAAGCGACGGTGCCAGGTGTCACCACCACATTGGCCGCATCATCCCCGGCACGCGCCTCGGCAATGATGGGATACTCGCCCGGCCCGTCCGCTGCCACCACCGCGTAGCCGTCCTGCCGTCAGCAAGGAACCTCGAAGAAGGAGACGGATGAGTCGACTCAGCATCCACAGGCAGCGTAGCGAGATTAATTGTATTTTTCCATTGGAGCGGTTCTAATGAGGAAGAAAGCAACAGAGCAATATGGTGATGTGAGGAATTAGCATAATTCTTCTCAGTTGCCATTTCTTGCCTTGATTGAGGCCGAAAACGGCGGCATCGGCTCGGGAGTGACGACATCTTTCGCGAGAACGCATCCTAACGACTCGTTTAACGAAACCGTAACCGCTGCAAGCGGTTTCGCGTGCTCGAGAACAAGCTTCTGAGCCTCGTCAACTGAAACCATCGGATACGCGGAACTAGGAGCGCCTTCTACGGCGGGAATTCCGCATGAATGGTGCGCATCGTCACCGTGAGGAGCCATGCTGCTGAGTCAGTTGTACTTTCGGCAATTCCAAGGACTCAGGAGTTAGGCAGCTTTATCACAGGACTAGGAATCAATAACTCGGCGCGTGGGATAGATTAGTGAAGCCCCAATATCCTATGCCTGGTGCTGCTCGGTGCTGCTCGGTAGCGAGGTTGGATTTTCGCAAGGTGGCTTTCGATTGGCTGTTCTAATATCATGGTTTCGCTCGTTGGAATCACATTCTGTCAGAAAAAGTGTTCGCTTGCGTGCGACTGTGGTCTACTGTAACGAAGCGTCGTGCGACGTGACAAACCAGCAAATCCCGCCCGCAGATCCACGTTGATCCGCCCGCATGGCGCAAAGTGGCTGGCGGCTGGAGGTAGACAGGCTCCGCGCGGCAAACAACAACATGGAGATCTGCGCGCGAATTCGGAACAAGGAAACACCGCTGTGCGTCTCAACCGTCGGATCTAGATCTGGAAACCATATTCCCAAGCCACCACACAAACCACCTGGGGGTTCTCTGGAATACACCACTCGCGATTGTAGCTTATTCACCACCATGCTGGTGTCGCGCTCAAGCACGGTTGCGGACAACCCATGCCTTGTGTCAGATTTCATCACCGATGTATACAGATTCTGAAAATTTAATAAACCGCGCGGAAAACCTTTTTAGCTTCCCACCCATCCCATCATCATCAGCAGCATTCACCTGGATCATCCAGATCCATTGCCTGAATCTACACCCTAAGCACATTCCCTTCTCTTACTTTTCCCTCACTCCTGCTGATCAGTGCTGTGTTGCGTCTCCGATTGCCAGTGATTGATGAAGGCTTCACCGTTGATGCTGTACAGTTTTTAGTCTCGTCTTCCTTGTTCCTGAATCCGCCGCCACGCGATGGCGAGGCGATTCGATTATCATCACCAGCAGCAGCACCAGCAGGCTGGCCGACGGACTCTGGCGGCATTCTGTTTCGCCTTCGTCCTTTTCCTGCTCGTCGCGGCTTACCTCTTTAGTGGCTTCAAGCCTGGACCGATTCCCACTTCGTCTGTGGTACGATTGCTCTATTCGTGAAAAGAATTTGTCCCACTGATCTCCACGGAATGAATCACTCGATCTTGCCGCCTTTTCGATTTATATCATAGCATTTCATTCTCGTGTCCTGTTAATTCTGGCAATCCGATAACTCCGTCGAACTGTTTCTTGATTAATATTCAAACCGAGACCTTTTGGTCCAGGATTTGATCAAACGCGTGCCGATCAGGACCCCACTGTAAGGCGTAGTTCATGGATCAGGAGTCAACTCGACACCGTGTCGATCTTTCGTCCGACTGCCACGGCATTTGCGGATCCAAAAGCTAGCTACCTTACTGTAGATTTTTCTCCCAAATAACGACACGAATCCTCTCATAGTGCTCTTTTTTGTCCGCGGTTCTGATACGCATGGGTCCGAAATTCTGGTACATTCTTATTTGCTGGCCTTTTCGTTCAGGACGAGGATCAGGATCGGGCAGGAGACGGCCTTGGAGGTCCCAACACGTCAGATGCGCTGGGAGATGAGCCGCAGGAGCACGAGATCCGGGATTCCGGGAAGCTCAGCCTGAATTTGCCTCCAGTGAAGGGCGTCGGGTACGTTTTCGCTTCTCCCGGTTTGTTCTGAGTTGACTTGAAATGCACGTTGGTGAGCCTATGGAGCACGAAGTTTGGGATGCCAGCAAGCTCAGCCCGAATCTGCCTCTAGTGAAGGGCGCCGAGTACTTTGTTGCTTTTACGGATCTGTTCAGAGTTTACCTAAAGTGCACTTAAATGAGCTAGAGAAACAGGAGATTTGGGATGCTAGCAAGCTCAGTTTGAATCTGCCTCCAGTGAAGGACGTCAGGTATTCTCCGAATCCCTTCAGCTGTCGGCTGTGCTTTCTTGCTTCCGGGTCCCCTTACTCGCCGGGTACGCTTTCTGTCCTCCGGAACCCCCCTTTTTTTGTCCAGATCCGTTTGCCTCGTTTTGTAATTTGTTTCATTCAGGACAAGTGGAGTGTGGTACCCTGATGCTTTAAATTACAATCCAAGCTGTCGAAGGATGCTCCCTGTGTCAACCTCGCTGTACGCGTTTTGAATTGCTCCCTTGGCTGTTTCTTTACAGGGAGCCGGCAGACTCCGACATGGAACCCCCCAGGAGAGCCGCGGACGAGGAGGAGGGCGGCGAGTCAGCCGCGCAAGAGGGCCTGCGGTTGGCGGGCGGGGGGGATGCGCGCGCGCAGGCGGAAAGGGAGAGAGACGCGCAGGACGCTGCTGCACAGGAGGGGGATTCCGAGGGCGGGGATGGTCAGGGGGAGGAAGGTTTGTTGCACAGCCGCGCTAGTGACAATGAGAAGGCGGCGGCGGCGGCGGCTGACGCGGCGGCTGCTGCTGATGCGGATGGTGATGGAATTGGAGGTTCTGAAGGGGTGGGAGGGGCGAAGGAAGGAGAGGAGGAAGAGACGAGCGAGAAGGGCGAGGAGGAGAAGGGTGGTGCGGAGAAAGAGAAAGAAGGTGACGCGGACGAGAATGGGGTGGAAGGGAAGGGGTCTGATGCGGAGGAGAAGGGCGAGGGGAGTGTGGATGGGGAGGCGGAGGGAGGGAGGATTGCAGGTGGGAAGAAGGCGAAGAAAAAGGATGAAGCGGAGGAAGGGGAAGAGGAAGAGGGGAGCGGAACGAAGGGGTCTGAGGCTAAGGAAGCGGAAGAGGAGAGCGAGGAGGAAGATGGTAGTGTGAAGAAGAAGGGAGTGAAGGGTAAAGGGAAGGATGGAGTGGACAACGAGGAGGACGAGGAGGAGAGTAAGTCGAAGAAGGGTAAGGGGAAGGAGGAGGCGGAGGAGGAGGGAGGTAGTGAGGAGGAAGAAGAGAGCGTTGGAGGCAAGAAGAAGGTCAAAGGCGAGGAGGACGCGGAAGAGGAGGAAGAGGCCTCTCCAATCGCGAAGAAGGCGAAAAGGGCGAAAACGAGCGAAGAGGAAGACGAGGGGAGTGATGAGGAAAAGGAGGGAAAGGGAGGGAAGGGTGAGGAGAGCGAGGAAGATGAGGAAAAGCCAAAAAGCAAGAAAGCGAAGAAGGTGAAAGCGAGTGAGGAAGAGGGAGAGGAGGAGGAGAAGGGTTCAGAGAGTGAAGAGGAGGAAGAGAGTGTGAGCAAGAAGGGAGGAAAGAAGAAGACAGTAGCGAAGGAGAGTGAGGAGGAAGAGGAGGGTGAGAAGAAGAGCGAGGAAGGGGAGGGGGAAGAGGAGGAAGGGGACGTGAAGCCGAGCAAAAAGGTGAAAGGAGCGAAGAAGGCGAGGAAAGAGGAGGGGGAGGATGCGGAAGAGGAGGCGGGTGATGGGAAGGGGGAGAAGGATGAGGAGGGGGGTGACGGGAAGGGGGAGAAAGAGGTAGAGAGCACAGCTGATGCGGAGGTTGAAGAGGATACGGTGGCAGCTGAAGCAGGGAAGGCTGGGGTGAAGGGTGGGAAGGGGAAGAAGAAGAGTGCGAAGGAGGTGGGTGAGGAGGAGGAAGGGGAAGGAGGAGAGAAGAGTGAGGATGGTGGGAAGGAGAGTGCGGAGGAGGAGGAAGAGGAGGGAGGAGCAGCGAAACGGAAAGTGAAAAAGAGTGGGAAGGAGGAAGAGGAATCTGATGATGCCGGGGAAGGGGATGGGGGTGAGGAGGAGGGGGAGAGTGCAGGCAAAGGTGGGGCAAAGAGGAAGGCGAAGAAGGGAAGCGAGGAGGGAGAGGAAGAAGGGTCGGAGGAAGGCGGAGAAGAGAGTGAGGAGGAGGAGGGGAAGAGCAGCATGAAGAGTGGAAAGACGAGCAAGAAGGGAAAGACGAAGAGCAAGAAGCTGAGGGGGGAGAGCGCGGATGGTGCTGAGCAGGACGGGGAGGAGGAGGAGGGTGGCGCTGCAGAGAAGCCGGTAGAGAAACGAGGTGAGCTGAGCGTGCTTTGACCTTGAGCTATTGGAGATAGTATCGTGTCTGAGCCCAGCCATGAACAAGCGCAAGAAGCTGAAGCTCAACACCAAGGTTCCACTCTCCTTGCTCTGTCGCTTCTTCACTCTGTCTTTGTTCCTGCTCGCCCTTCACTGCACCCCACCATCGCACAGGCGTGTGACCCAGAGTTGTCGGAGATAGTGCCGTGCCTGAGCCCAGCCATGAACAAGCGCATGAAGCTGAAGCTCAACAAGAAGGTCTCCCTTACTAGCTTTTTCATGCTCTCCCTCCTCTCCCAGGCATGTGACCCGGAGCTGTCAGAGATAGTGCCGTGTCTGAGCCCAGCCATGAACAAGCGCATGAAGCTGAAGGTCAACACCAAGGCCTTCCTTTTCTCGCCTCTTCATTCCCTCCCTCTCCCCGCAGGCGTGTGATCCGGAGTTGTCAGAGATTGTGCCATGCTTGAGCCCAGCCATGAACAAGCGCATGAAGCTGAAGGTCAACACCAAGGTCTCCCTCTCCTCCCTCCTTCACTCCCTTTCTCCGCCTCAGGCGTGTGACCCGGAGCTGTCAGAGATAGTGCCGTGCCTGAGCCCAGCAATGAACAAGCGCATGAAGCTGAAGCTGAACACCAAGGTGATGGAGCACTACGAGCGCCACTGCCCGCCCGACGACCTCATGCCTCACTGCCTCGTGCCGCAGCCGCCTGGCTACAAGGTGAGAGGCAGGCGCGGGTTAGAGGAGGGTGTGGGGCAGAAGTGCAGGGGCGGGAGCGCATGAAGCTGAAGCTCAACACCAAGGTGATGGAGCACTACGAGCGCCATTGCCCGCCTGACGACCTCATGCCGCACTGCCTCGTGCCGCAGCCTCCTGGTTACAAGGTGAGAGGCAGGCACGGGCTAGAGGAGGGTGTGGGGCAGAAGTGCAGGGGAGAGAGCGCATGAAGCTGAAGCTGAACACCAAGGTGATGGAGCATTATGAGCGCCACTGCCCGCCTGACGACCTCATGCCGCACTGCCTCGTGCCGCAGCCACCCGGCTACAAGGTGAGGAGCAGACAGGGTTTAAATTGGGGTGCGAGGGGAGGAGCAGGGGTGCAGGGGTGCATGGGGTAAGGGAGCGCATGAAGCTGAAGCTCAATACGAAGGTGATGGAGCACTACGAGCGCCACTGCCCGCCTGACGACCTCATGCCGCACTGCCTCGTGCCCCAGCCACCCGGCTACAAGGTGAGCTATGGTGTGGGTGGCAGGGCTTAAGGTGGGAGACAGGGGCATGTGCAGGGTTTGATTGTGATTTTATTTTCCCCTCTTTTTTTCCCCTTCTGCCAGACGTCCGTCCCCTGGCCGTGCAGCTGGGAGAAGGCGTGCAAATGTGTCCCACACACTGCTGGCAATTGAGGAATTCACAACCCTCCCCCACCCCTTTCCCCCCTCAATTCCTCCTACCGACCTCCATTTCCTGGCCACGCAGCAGGGACGAGGTGTGGCAGGCGAGCGTGCCCCTCACAATGTGGATGCTAATACCCCCCCCGCCCTCCCCCCACTTCCCCTTTTCACTTCTCCTTTCTCCCTCCTGCCAGACGTCCATCCCCTGGCCTCGCAGCAGGGACAAGGTGTGGCGGGCGAATGTCCCCCATACGCTGCTGGCAACTGAGAAATTCGACCCCCACAACCCTCTCTCCCTGCCCTCTCTCCCCTCTCCAGACGTCCATTCCCTGGCCGCGCAGCAGGGACGAGGTGTGGCGGGCCAATGTCCCCCACACGCTGCTGGCGACGGAGAAGTCGGATCAGCACTGGATGGTGGTGGACGGTGAAATGATCCTGTCGTCGCCCCCTTCCCCTTGTATCCTCCCCTCTCGTCTTCCCTGCTCTCATGCTCTCTTCTTGTCAGACGTCCATCCCCTGGCCGAGGAGCAGAGACGAGGTGTGGTGGGCGAATGTACCTCACACGCTGCTGGCGACGGAGAAGTCGGATCAGCACTGGATGGTGGTGGACGGCGATATCATCCGATGCCCTCCCACTCTCCTCCCCTTTTCCCTCTGCAGACGTCCATCCCCTGGCCGAGGAGTCGAGATGAGGTGTGGCGCGCCAATGTCCCCCACACCCTTTTAGCAACGGAGAAGTCGGATCAGCACTGGATGGTGGTGGACGGCGATATCATCCGATTCCCGGGCGGCGGCACGCACTTCCCCGGGGGCGCGGACAAATACATTGAGCGCATTGGGAAGGTGAGAAAAACTGGGGAAAGGAGGGGGAGGGGGGGGGGGAGTGGGGGATGGGTGAAAGGGTGTAAGAACGCATGCACTTTCCTGGGAGGGCAGGCAAATACATTGAGTTCATTGGGCAGGTAAGGAGGGGGCGAAGGCGTCCGGTGGACAAGGGGGATCGGAGGGAACGGACGAATAAAAAAAAGGGTGATTTTTTAGAAGCTTCAAAGATCACCTCACTGCACACGGATAATAAACAGGGCCTCCTTTTTCACGCTTTTAGACGCCAGAAGCAACACCAACATTCATGTACCGACCCTCACTCCTTCCCCACCACGCCCACACGCCCCCACCTTCTTGATCAGATGATGGGAGACGAGAACGGCAACTTCTCAGTGGATGGCAAGATTCGTACAGTACTGGACATCGGGTGCGGGGTGGCGTCGTTTGGCGCGTACCTTCTGGACCACTCAGTGCTCACCATGTCCGTAGCCCCCAACGATGTGCACGAGAATCAGATCCAGTTCGCGCTGGAGAGGGGTCTGCCGGCGTTCCTAGGGGTGATGGGGACCCAGCGGCTGCCCTTCCCCTCCTTGGCGTTCGATCTGGCCCACTGCTCCCGCTGCCGCATCGACTGGCTGCAGAGAGGTAAGCACCACACGCCACACACGACACACCACACACCCAGTGCTGACCTGCTGGACCACTCTGTGCTGACCATGTCCGTGGCCTCCAACGACGTGCACGAGAATCAAATCCAGTTCGCCCTCGAGAGGGGTTTGCCTGCCTTCTTAGGGGTGATGGGCACGCAGAGGCTCCCTTTCCCCTCGCTGGCGTTCGACTTGGCTCACTGCTCCCGCTGCCGCATCGACTGGCTGCAGAGAGGTGTGTGAATAAGCGGGGCTTTCCTGCCTTCTCAGGCGAGTTGGGGACCCAGCGACTCCCCTTCCCCTCTCTAGCTTTCGACCTTGCCCACTGCTGCCGCTGCGGCTGCGGGGAGGTGGGTGGGACGAGGGAGGGGGATGAATTGGGAGGTAGGGTGAGTGGATTGGGAGGACTACTGGGCGGTGTGTGGTTCGCGCCACCCACATGCTTTGTAACACCCCCTGTGCCCCGCCTGTCTGCATGCCCTATGAAAATCTCTCCTTTACCCCCTCTCCCCCCTGCCCGTCAGGTGGGCTGCTGCTGTTGGAGCTGGACAGGATAATCCGACCAGGAGGCTACTGGGTGTGGTCCGCCCCGCCTGTGTGCCTCATTACTTACACCTCCGCATTCAACCATGCCTTGAGCCTGCCCGCTTTATTCTTCCCCTGTCTGCCCTGCAGACGGGCTGCTGCTGTTGGAGCTGGATCGGGTGATTCGACCAGGAGGCTACTGGGTGTGGTCTGCCCCGCCTGTCTGCCTCATTACACCTCCTGTGCCCTGCCTACATGCTGCCTCCCTCCCTCTCCCCTCCCTGTCCGCCTTCAGACGGTCTGCTGCTGTTAGAGTTGGATCGGGTGATCCGTCCAGGCGGCTACTGGGTGTGGTCTGCCCCGCCTGTGTGACTCATTACACCTCCTGTGCCCTGCCTACATGCTGCCTCCCTCCCTCTCCCCTCCCTCCCTGCCCTGCAGACGGGCTGCTGCTGCTGGAGTTGGATCGGGTGATCCGACCAGGTGGCTACTGGGTGTGGTCGGCCCCGCCTGTGTATCGTGAAGACGAGGAGAACCAGAAGCTTTGGGCTGACATGCTGGCATTCATGGAGTGAGTGGGTGGTTGGTTGGTGGGGTGAGGTGAGTTAGTGCGGTAAGAAGCTGTGTTGGTATGGGTTAGTCAGTGTTAGGACGAGGAGAACCAGAAGCTTTGGGCTGACATGCTGGCCTTCATGGAGTGAGTGGGGGGTTGTTGGTGAGTGGGGGTGTGGTTGGTGAGTGGGGGGGGTGGTTGGTGAGTGGGTGGGTGGTTGGTGAGTGGAGGAGTAATTGGTGAGTGGGTGGGCTGCGTGGGGCGTTGACTGATGAGTGGGTTGGGGTGTCATTGAGTTGATTTAGGAGAGCTCCATGACATGCATGTATGTGCACATGAGAGGTAGTGTGAGGACAAGGGGAGTCAGTAGCTGTGTAAGGTGAAGGCGCGGAGCAGGCAGAACTAAAGATCCTGGCGCCCATGCTCATGCTCCTCTTTTTCTCCCTCTCCACCCTTTCTCCGCCCATCGTCACAGGCGCATGTGCTGGAAGGTGAAGGCGCAGAGTGGACAAACCGCCATTTTCAAGAAGCCAAAGACGAATCTGTGCATCAAGAAGCGGGCGCCAGACACAAAGGGTTGGCTTGTGAGTCGACTCAAGCCCCATCCGTCCTCTCCACCCCTCTCCACCCGTCTCCATCCCTGTCCTCCAGGCGCATGTGTTGGAAGGTGAAGGCGCAGAGCGGACAGACAGCCATCTTCAAGAAGCCAAAGACCAACCTGTGCATCAAGAAGCGGCCGGCAGACACGGAGCCGCCCCTGTGCGATGCGGCCCGGGTGTCCCCCAATTCCGCCTGGTACACGCCCATGGATGCATGCGTCAACACGGTACCCAAGGGCAAGAAGAACAAGCTGATCCAGCCGTGGCCGGAGCGACTGGTGTCCCCCTCCCCGCGCATCGACCTGCTTGGTCTGGCCAAGAGCGACTTTGAGGCCGACACGGTGAGTTGCTGTGGCATTGAAAGGGGAGGTGGTGGATTCATGTGGCAATTAATGTAAGGGCGGAATTTTGTGGCTGGAGTGACTGGTGTCCCCCTCTTGCGCATCGACCTGCTTGGGCTGGCCAAAAGCGACTATGAGGCCGACACGGTGAGTTGATGGGGCATTCTGCCTGGTACACTTTCATGGACCCATGCATCAACACGGTGCCTAAAGGCAAGAAGAACAAGCTGATTCAGCCGTGGCCGGAGCGACTGGTGACCCCCTCCCCGCGCATTGACTTGCTAGGGCTGGCAAAGAGCGACTTTGAGGCCGACACGGTGAGTTGCTGCTGGTGGTGAGGTGACATGGTGGTTGGTTGCATTTGAGGCGTTATGTGGCATTGCATGGAAAGAGGAGGTTGTGTGGCTGCAGTGCCTGGTGTCCCCGTCCCCGCGCATCGACCTGCTTGGGCTGGCCAAGTCCGGCTTTGAGGCCGATACGGTGAGTTGCTGTGGCGTTCAAAAGGGAGGTGGTGGGTTCATGTGGCAATAAAGGAAGGGCAGAATTATGTGGCCGGAGCGACTGGTGTCTGTCCCCTCCCCGCGCATCGACCTGCTTGGGCTGGCCAAGTCCGACTTTGAGGCCGACACGGTGAGTTGCTGCTGCTCCCACTGACCCTTTGGTTTCGAGATGATGGTTTGCTCACAGGGTGGGTTTCAAGTGGTGGGCGCTGCTGGTAATCTTCTTCTTCTTGTGGTGGGCCCTTGGTCGGAGGCTGGTAGTCTACTTCATAGAGCCTCCAAGACATAGGGATCCAAAGCGCCCTTCCCCATGCACAATGCCATTGACATCAGCGCGCACATCAATACTCATCGTTCCTGTCTCCCTCTGCCTACTTCTCCCCCATGAGCAAGAAGCCTGGGAGAAGATAGTAGCAGACTATGGCTCACTTCTGGGCGGGCAGGCCCTGCTGCGTCCTCTCGACTCCTCCCTCAAGACAACCTCCAAGTCCAAGGGCTCCAAGGCAGCCTACCCCATGCGCAACGAGGTTGACATCAACGCGCACATGGGCACGTCATTGTTCCTTTTCCCCCCATTCCCGCCCAATCATTCCCCACTTACAGGAAGCCTGGGAGAAGATCGTAGCAGATTATGACTCACTTCTGGGCGGTCAGGCCCTGCTGCGCTCTCTGGACAGAGCAGCATCCAAGTCCAAGGGCTCCAAACCTCCCTACCCCATGCGCAACGTGATTGACATCAACGCGCACATGGGCGGGTTTGCAGCGGCGCTGGCTGCACAGGGGCAGGCGGTGTGGGTGATGAACACGGTGCCGCCGCAGGGGGAGAAGAGCAGTGCTGGGCTGGCCATGGTGTATGACCGTGGGCTCATCGGTGTTTACCATGACTGGTGAGTGGCGCTGGTATGGGGTTCTGGGTTTGCAGCGCGGGGTTGGCGATGGTGTATGACTGCAGGCTCATCGGGGTTTACCACGACTGGTGAGTGGCACTCGGGATGGTGGGATGGGGAGGTGATGGGCACATGAAGGGGATTATGCTGTGGTACTGGCGGTGCAGGGGCAAACGGTGTGGGTGATGAACACGGTGCCCCCACATGGGGGGGAGAGCAGTGCAAGCGGTGTGGGGGATTTCTGTGCAAGCGGTGTGGGGGATTTCTGTGCAAGCGGTGTGGGGGATTTCTGTGCAAGCGGTGTGGGGGATTTCTGTGCAAGCGGTGTGGGGGATTTCTGTGCAAGCGGTGTGGGGGATTTCTGTGCAAGCGGTGTGGGGGATTTCTGTGCAAGCGGTGTGGGGGATTTCTGTGCAAGCGGTGTGGGGGATTTCTGTGCAAGCGGTGTGGGGGATTTCTGTGCAAGCGGTGTGGGGGATTTCTGTGCAAGCGGTGTGGGGGATTTCTGTGCAAGCGGTGTGGGGGATTTCTGTGCAAGCGGTGTGGGGGATTTCTGTGCAAGCGGTGTGGGGGATTTCTGTGCAAGCGGTGTGGGGGATTTCTGTGCAAGCGGTGTGGGGGATTTCTGTGCAAGCGGTGTGGGGGATTTCTGTGCAAGCGGTGTGGGGGATTTCTGTGCAAGCGGTGTGGGGGATTTCTGTGCAAGCGGTGTGGGGGATTTCTGTGCAAGCGGTGTGGGGGATTTCTGTGCAAGCGGTGTGGGGGATTTCTGTGCAAGCGGTGTGGGGGATTTCTGTGCAAGCGGTGTGGGGGATTTCTGTGCAAGCGGTGTGGGGGATTTCTGTGCAAGCGGTGTGGGGGATTTCTGTGCAAGCGGTGTGGGGGATTTCTGTGCAAGCGGTGTGGGGGATTTCTGTGCAAGCGGTGTGGGGGATTTCTGTGCAAGCGGTGTGGGGGATTTCTGTGCAAGCGGTGTGGGGGATTTCTGTGCAAGCGGTGTGGGGGATTTCTGTGCAAGCGGTGTGGGGGATTTCTGTGCAAGCGGTGTGGGGGATTTCTGTGCAAGCGGTGTGGGGGATTTCTGTGCAAGCGGTGTGGGGGATTTCTGTGCAAGCGGTGTGGGGGATTTCTGTGCAAGCGGTGTGGGGGATTTCTGTGCAAGCGGTGTGGGGGATTTCTGTGCAAGCGGTGTGGGGGATTTCTGTGCAAGCGGTGTGGGGGATTTCTGTGCAAGCGGTGTGGGGGATTTCTGTGCAAGCGGTGTGGGGGATTTCTGTGCAAGCGGTGTGGGGGATTTCTGTGCAAGCGGTGTGGGGGATTTCTGTGCAAGCGGTGTGGGGGATTTCTGTGCAAGCGGTGTGGGGGATTTCTGTGCAAGCGGTGTGGGGGATTTCTGTGCAAGCGGTGTGGGGGATTTCTGTGCAAGCGGTGTGGGGGATTTCTGTGCAAGCGGTGTGGGGGATTTCTGTGCAAGCGGTGTGGGGGATTTCTGTGCAAGCGGTGTGGGGGATTTCTGTGCAAGCGGTGTGGGGGATTTCTGTGCAAGCGGTGTGGGGGATTTCTGTGCAAGCGGTGTGGGGGATTTCTGTGCAAGCGGTGTGGGGGATTTCTGTGCAAGCGGTGTGGGGGATTTCTGTGCAAGCGGTGTGGGGGATTTCTGTGCAAGCGGTGTGGGGGATTTCTGTGCAAGCGGTGTGGGGGATTTCTGTGCAAGCGGTGTGGGGGATTTCTGTGCAAGCGGTGTGGGGGATTTCTGTGCAAGCGGTGTGGGGGATTTCTGTGCAAGCGGTGTGGGGGATTTCTGTGCAAGCGGTGTGGGGGATTTCTGTGCAAGCGGTGTGGGGGATTTCTGTGCAAGCGGTGTGGGGGATTTCTGTGCAAGCGGTGTGGGGGATTTCTGTGCAAGCGGTGTGGGGGATTTCTGTGCAAGCGGTGTGGGGGATTTCTGTGCAAGCGGTGTGGGGGATTTCTGTGCAAGCGGTGTGGGGGATTTCTGTGCAAGCGGTGTGGGGGATTTCTGTGCAAGCGGTGTGGGGGATTTCTGTGCAAGCGGTGTGGGGGATTTCTGTGCAAGCGGTGTGGGGGATTTCTGTGCAAGCGGTGTGGGGGATTTCTGTGCAAGCGGTGTGGGGGATTTCTGTGCAAGCGGTGTGGGGGATTTCTGTGCAAGCGGTGTGGGGGATTTCTGTGCAAGCGGTGTGGGGGATTTCTGTGCAAGCGGTGTGGGGGATTTCTGTGCAAGCGGTGTGGGGGATTTCTGTGCAAGCGGTGTGGGGGATTTCTGTGCAAGCGGTGTGGGGGATTTCTGTGCAAGCGGTGTGGGGGATTTCTGTGCAAGCGGTGTGGGGGATTTCTGTGCAAGCGGTGTGGGGGATTTCTGTGCAAGCGGTGTGGGGGATTTCTGTGCAAGCGGTGTGGGGGATTTCTGTGCAAGCGGTGTGGGGGATTTCTGTGCAAGCGGTGTGGGGGATTTCTGTGCAAGCGGTGTGGGGGATTTCTGTGCAAGCGGTGTGGGGGATTTCTGTGCAAGCGGTGTGGGGGATTTCTGTGCAAGCGGTGTGGGGGATTTCTGTGCAAGCGGTGTGGGGGATTTCTGTGCAAGCGGTGTGGGGGATTTCTGTGCAAGCGGTGTGGGGGATTTCTGTGCAAGCGGTGTGGGGGATTTCTGTGCAAGCGGTGTGGGGGATTTCTGTGCAAGCGGTGTGGGGGATTTCTGTGCAAGCGGTGTGGGGGATTTCTGTGCAAGCGGTGTGGGGGATTTCTGTGCAAGCGGTGTGGGGGATTTCTGTGCAAGCGGTGTGGGGGATTTCTGTGCAAGCGGTGTGGGGGATTTCTGTGCAAGCGGTGTGGGGGATTTCTGTGCAAGCGGTGTGGGGGATTTCTGTGCAAGCGGTGTGGGGGATTTCTGTGCAAGCGGTGTGGGGGATTTCTGTGCAAGCGGTGTGGGGGATTTCTGTGCAAGCGGTGTGGGGGATTTCTGTGCAAGCGGTGTGGGGGATTTCTGTGCAAGCGGTGTGGGGGATTTCTGTGCAAGCGGTGTGGGGGATTTCTGTGCAAGCGGTGTGGGGGATTTCTGTGCAAGCGGTGTGGGGGATTTCTGTGCAAGCGGTGTGGGGGATTTCTGTGCAAGCGGTGTGGGGGATTTCTGTGCAAGCGGTGTGGGGGATTTCTGTGCAAGCGGTGTGGGGGATTTCTGTGCAAGCGGTGTGGGGGATTTCTGTGCAAGCGGTGTGGGGGATTTCTGTGCAAGCGGTGTGGGGGATTTCTGTGCAAGCGGTGTGGGGGATTTCTGTGCAAGCGGTGTGGGGGATTTCTGTGCAAGCGGTGTGGGGGATTTCTGTGCAAGCGGTGTGGGGGATTTCTGTGCAAGCGGTGTGGGGGATTTCTGTGCAAGCGGTGTGGGGGATTTCTGTGCAAGCGGTGTGGGGGATTTCTGTGCAAGCGGTGTGGGGGATTTCTGTGCAAGCGGTGTGGGGGATTTCTGTGCAAGCGGTGTGGGGGATTTCTGTGCAAGCGGTGTGGGGGATTTCTGTGCAAGCGGTGTGGGGGATTTCTGTGCAAGCGGTGTGGGGGATTTCTGTGCAAGCGGTGTGGGGGATTTCTGTGCAAGCGGTGTGGGGGATTTCTGTGCAAGCGGTGTGGGGGATTTCTGTGCAAGCGGTGTGGGGGATTTCTGTGCAAGCGGTGTGGGGGATTTCTGTGCAAGCGGTGTGGGGGATTTCTGTGCAAGCGGTGTGGGGGATTTCTGTGCAAGCGGTGTGGGGGATTTCTGTGCAAGCGGTGTGGGGGATTTCTGTGCAAGCGGTGTGGGGGATTTCTGTGCAAGCGGTGTGGGGGATTTCTGTGCAAGCGGTGTGGGGGATTTCTGTGCAAGCGGTGTGGGGGATTTCTGTGCAAGCGGTGTGGGGGATTTCTGTGCAAGCGGTGTGGGGGATTTCTGTGCAAGCGGTGTGGGGGATTTCTGTGCAAGCGGTGTGGGGGATTTCTGTGCAAGCGGTGTGGGGGATTTCTGTGCAGGCGGTGTGGGGGATTTCTGTGCAAGCGGTGTGGGGGATTTCTGTGCAAGCGGTGTGGGGGATTTCTGTGCAAGCGGTGTGGGGGATTTCTGTGCAAGCGGTGTGGGGGATTTCTGTGCAAGCGGTGTGGGGGATTTCTGTGCAAGCGGTGTGGGGGATTTCTGTGCAAGCGGTGTGGGGGATTTCTGTGCAAGCGGTGTGGGGGATTTCTGTGCAAGCGGTGTGGGGGATTTCTGTGCAAGCGGTGTGGGGGATTTCTGTGCAAGCGGTGTGGGGGATTTCTGTGCAAGCGGTGTGGGGGATTTCTGTGCAAGCGGTGTGGGGGATTTCTGTGCAAGCGGTGTGGGGGATTTCTGTGCAAGCGGTGTGGGGGATTTCTGTGCAGCGGTGTGGGGGATTTCTGTGCAAGCGGTGTGGGGGATTTCTGTGCAAGCGGTGTGGGGGATTTCTGTGCAAGCGGTGTGGGGGATTTCTGTGCAAGCGGTGTGGGGGATTTCTGTGCAAGCGGTGTGGGGGATTTCTGTGCAAGCGGTGTGGGGGATTTCTGTGCAAGCGGTGTGGGGGATTTCTGTGCAAGCGGTGTGGGGGATTTCTGTGCAAGCGGTGTGGGGGATTTCTGTGCAAGCGGTGTGGGGGATTTCTGTGCAAGCGGTGTGGGGGATTTCTGTGCAAGCGGTGTGGGGGATTTCTGTGCAAGCGGTGTGGGGGATTTCTGTGCAAGCGGTGTGGGGGATTTCTGTGCAAGCGGTGTGGGGGATTTCTGTGCAAGCGGTGTGGGGGATTTCTGTGCAAGCGGTGTGGGGGATTTCTGTGCAAGCGGTGTGGGGGATTTCTGTGCAAGCGGTGTGGGGGATTTCTGTGCAAGCGGTGTGGGGGATTTCTGTGCAGGCGGTGTGGGGGATTTCTGTGCAAGCGGTGTGGGGGATTTCTGTGCAGCGGTGTGGGGGATTTCTGTGCAAGCGGTGTGGGGGATTTCTGTGCAAGCGGTGTGGGGGATTTCTGTGCAAGCGGTGTGGGGGATTTCTGTGCAAGCGGTGTGGGGGATTTCTGTGCAGGCGGTGTGGGGGATTTCTGTGCAAGCGGTGTGGGGGATTTCTGTGCAAGCGGTGTGGGGGATTTCTGTGCAAGCGGTGTGGGGGATTTCTGTGCAAGCGGTGTGGGGGATTTCTGTGCAAGCGGTGTGGGGGATTTCTGTGCAAGCGGTGTGGGGGATTTCTGTGCAAGCGGTGTGGGGGATTTCTGTGCAAGCGGTGTGGGGGATTTCTGTGCAAGCGGTGTGGGGGATTTCTGTGCAAGCGGTGTGGGGGATTTCTGTGCAAGCGGTGTGGGGGATTTCTGTGCAAGCGGTGTGGGGGATTTCTGTGCAAGCGGTGTGGGGGATTTCTGTGCAAGCGGTGTGGGGGATTTCTGTGCAAGCGGTGTGGGGGATTTCTGTGCAAGCGGTGTGGGGGATTTCTGTGCAAGCGGTGTGGGGGATTTCTGTGCAAGCGGTGTGGGGGATTTCTGTGCAAGCGGTGTGGGGGATTTCTGTGCAAGCGGTGTGGGGGATTTCTGTGCAAGCGGTGTGGGGGATTTCTGTGCAAGCGGTGTGGGGGATTTCTGTGCAAGCGGTGTGGGGGATTTCTGTGCAAGCGGTGTGGGGGATTTCTGTGCAAGCGGTGTGGGGGATTTCTGTGCAAGCGGTGTGGGGGATTTCTGTGCAAGCGGTGTGGGGGCTTTCTGTTCAGGCGGTGTGGGGGCTTTCTGTGCAAGCGGTGTGCGGGCTTTCTGTGCAAGCGGTGTGGGGGCTTTCTGTGCAAGCGGTGTGGGGGCTTTCTGTGCAAGCGGTGTGGGGGCTTTCTGTGCAAGCGGTGTGGGGGCTTTCTGTGCAAGCGGTGTGGGGGCTTTCTGTGCAAGCGGTGTGGGGGCTTTCTGTGCAAGCGGTGTGGGGGCTTTCTGTGCAAGCGGTGTGGGGGCTTTCTGTGCAAGCGGTGTGGGGGATTTCTGTGCAAGCGGTGTGGGGGATTTCTGTGCAAGCGGTGTGGGGGATTTCTGTGCAAGCGGTGTGGGGGATTTCTGTGCAAGCGGTGTGGGGGATTTCTGTGCAAGCGGTGTGGGGGATTTCTGTGCAAGCGGTGTGGGGGCTTTCTGTGCAAGCGGTGTGGGGGCTTTCTGTGCAAGCGGTGTGGGGGATTTCTGTGCAAGCGGTGTGGGGGATTTCTGTGCAAGCGGTGTGGGGGCTTTCTGTGCAAGCGGTGTGGGGGCTTTCTGTGCAAGCGGTGTGGGGGATTTCTGTGCAAGCGGTGTGGGGGCTTTCTGTGCAAGCGGTGTGGGGGCTTTCTGTGCAAGCGGTGTGGGGGATTTCTGTGCAAGCGGTGTGGGGGCTTTCTGTGCAGGCGGTGTGGGGGCTTTCTGTGCAAGCGGTGTGGGGGATTTCTGTGCAAGCGGTGTGGGGGATTTCTGTGCAAGCGGTGTGGGGGATTTCTGTGCAAGCGGTGTGGGGGATTTCTGTGCAAGCGGTGTGGGGGATTTCTGTGCAAGCGGTGTGGGGGATTTCTGTGCAAGCGGTGTGGGGGATTTCTGTGCAAGCGGTGTGGGGGCTTTCTGTTCAGGCGGTGTGGGGGCTTTCTGTGCAAGCGGTGTGCGGGCTTTCTGTGCAAGCGGTGTGGGGGCTTTCTGTGCAAGCGGTGTGGGGGCTTTCTGTGCAAGCGGTGTGGGGGCTTTCTGTGCAAGCGGTGTGGGGGCTTTCTGTGCAAGCGGTGTGGGGGCTTTCTGTGCAAGCGGTGTGGGGGCTTTCTGTGCAAGCGGTGTGGGGGCTTTCTGTGCAAGCGGTGTGGGGGCTTTCTGTGCAAGCGGTGTGGGGGCTTTCTGTGCAAGCGGTGTGGGGGCTTTCTGTGCAAGCGGTGTGGGGGCTTTCTGTGCAAGCGGTGTGGGGGCTTTCTGTGCAGGCGGTGTGGGGGCTTTCTGTGCAAGCGGTGTGGGGGCTTTCTGTGCAAGCGGTGTGGGGGCTTTCTGTGCAAGCGGTGTGGGGGCTTTCTGTGCAAGCGGTGTGTGGGCTTTCTGTGCAAGCGGTGTGGGGGCTTTCTGTGCAAGCGGTGTGGGGGCTTTCTGTGCAAGCGGTGTGGGGGCTTTCTGTGCAAGCGGTGTGGGGGCTTTCTGTGCAAGCGGTGTGGGGGCTTTCTGTGCAAGCGGTGTGGGGGCTTTCTGTGCAAGCGGTGTGGGGGCTTTCTGTGCAAGCGGTGTGGGGGCTTTCTGTGCAGGCGGTGTGGGGGCTTTCTGTGCAGGCGGTGTGTGGGCTTTCTGTGCAAGCGGTGTGGGGGCTTTCTGTGCAGGCGGTGTGGGGGCTTTCTGTGCAGGCGGTGTGGGGGCTTTCTGTGCAAGCGGTGTGGGGGCTTTCTGTGCAAGCGGTGTGGGGGCTTTCTGTGCAAGCGGTGTGGGGGCTTTCTGTGCAAGCGGTGTGGGGGCTTTCTGTGCAAGCGGTGTGGGGGCTTTCTGTGCAAGCGGTGTGGGGGCTTTCTGTGCAGGCGGTGTGGGGGCTTTCTGTGCAAGCGGTGTGGGGGCTTTCTGTGCAAGCGGTGTGGGGGCTTTCTGTGCAAGCGGTGTGGGGGCTTTCTGTGCAAGCGGTGTGGGGGCTTTCTGTGCAAGCGGTGTGGGGGCTTTCTGTGCAAGCGGTGTGGGGGCTTTCTGTGCAAGCGGTGTGGGGGCTTTCTGTGCAAGCGGTGTGGGGGCTTTCTGTGCAAGCGGTGTGGGGGCTTTCTGTGCAAGCGGTGTGGGGGCTTTCTGTGCAAGCGGTGTGGGGGCTTTCTGTGCAAGCGGTGTGGGGGCTTTCTGTGCAAGCGGTGTGGGGGCTTTCTGTGCAAGCGGTGTGGGGGCTTTCTGTGCAAGCGGTGTGGGGGCTTTCTGTGCAGGCGGTGTGGGGGCTTTCTGTGCAAGCGGTGTGGGGGCTTTCTGTGCAGGCGGTGTGGGGGCTTTCTGTGCAAGCGGTGTGGGGGCTTTCTGTGCAAGCGGTGTGGGGGCTTTCTGTGCAAGCGGTGTGGGGGCTTTCTGTGCAAGCGGTGTGTGGGCTTTCTGTGCAAGCGGTGTGGGGGCTTTCTGTGCAAGCGGTGTGGGGGCTTTCTGTGCAAGCGGTGTGGGGGCTTTCTGTGCAAGCGGTGTGGGGGCTTTCTGTGCAAGCGGTGTGGGGGCTTTCTGTGCAAGCGGTGTGGGGGCTTTCTGTGCAGGCGGTGTGGGGGCTTTCTGTGCAAGCGGTGTGGGGGCTTTCTGTGCAAGCGGTGTGGGGGCTTTCTGTGCAGGCGGTGTGGGGGCTTTCTGTGCAAGCGGTGTGGGGGCTTTCTGTGCAAGCGGTGTGGGGGCTTTCTGTGCAAGCGGTGTGGGGGCTTTCTGTGCAAGCGGTGTGGGGGCTTTCTGTGCAAGCGGTGTGGGGGCTTTCTGTGCAAGCGGTGTGGGGGCTTTCTGTGCAAGCGGTGTGGGGGCTTTCTGTGCAAGCGGTGTGGGGGCTTTCTGTGCAAGCGGTGTGGGGGCTTTCTGTGCAAGCGGTGTGGGGGCTTTCTGTGCAAGCGGTGTGTGGGCTTTCTGTGCAAGCGGTGTGGGGGCTTTCTGTGCAAGCGGTGTGGGGGCTTTCTGTGCAAGCGGTGTGGGGGCTTTCTGTGCAAGCGGTGTGGGGGCTTTCTGTGCAAGCGGTGTGGGGGCTTTCTGTGCAAGCGGTGTGGGGGCTTTCTGTGCAAGCGGTGTGGGGGCTTTCTGTGCAAGCGGTGTGGGGGCTTTCTGTGCAAGCGGTGTGGGGGCTTTCTGTGCAAGCGGTGTGGGGGCTTTCTGTGCAAGCGGTGTGTGGGCTTTCTGTGCAAGCGGTGTGGGGGCTTTCTGTGCAGGCGGTGTGGGGGCTTTCTGTGCAGGCGGTGTGGGGGCTTTCTGTGCAAGCGGTGTGGGGGCTTTCTGTGCAAGCGGTGTGGGGGCTTTCTGTGCAAGCGGTGTGTGGGCTTTCTGTGCAAGCGGTGTGGGGGCTTTCTGTGCAGGCGGTGTGGGGGCTTTCTGTGCAGGCGGTGTGGGGGCTTTCTGTGCAGGCGGTGTGAGCTTGCTGTGCAGGCGGTGTGAGCTTGCTGTGCAGGGCTTGCAGTGCTCGTTGCAGGCGGTGTGGGGTTGTTAGCCTTTTTGTTTGCAGGATGGTTCTTATTGCTGCTCCTTCATTATGCTCTGCTTCCATCTATATTGTTTGTTTGACACTGATGTGCCATGAAAGGTGCGAGCCCTTCTCAACATATCCCCGGACCTACGACCTCGTCCATGCATGGAGGGCGGTGTCTCAAGTGCTCAAGCGCAAATGCTCCTTGGAGGCCTTGCTACTCGAGCTCGACCGCATCCTTCGTCCCAAGGGTGTTCTGCTCTTTCGGGATAATGCCGATGTTATTGCACGCCTGGAGAAGCGGTTGAAGGCGGTGAAGTGGATTGTACTGAAGGGGCCTGTATCGAGGACGTTTATTGATGGGGAGGAGGAGCAGGTGCTCGTTGTGCAGAAGCGGTTTTGGAGGCTGAAGGAGAAGGCTGCTTTGAAGGAAAGTGCGGAGGCAGCTGCATCGACGGATGGGGACGCCGAGGAGCGCAGAAGGTTGTCACATAGTTCGAAGATACGACTGGGTCAGATTCGTTGATTTCTAATATGCTTCAAAATGCTGGAATTTAAATCTCTTTGTAGCGATGCTAGGAATTTATGAGTCATAGCTGCTCTTTATTATCCGACTTAGTTATACTTGAAGCTTATTCTTACCCTCACTCAGCTTATATCCGTTCCTGCGTAGCACTCCGGCTCACGACAGAATTTCACACATCACTTTTCGTGGTGTCAGGTCCTCTGACCCTCTGACACGGCGGCTCGATTCGGCGGGGTTTGGTCGGGTTGTCAGAGATTGTTACCAGACTGCTCCTCTACTTCGAGGCCGGCAAATTTTGACGAGATTGAGGAGGATGAAAGGTGCCCTCTTCACGTCCACGAAGCGAGCAGAAATCGTGGAGCTTCGAAATCTGCACGGTTGACGATGCACGAAAGAGGTTCCTACCGGGGCAGGGGTTGCGAAAAGCTTAAACTTTATCCGCAAATCCCGGTGTCGTGGGGACAACCTTGGGGGAAGCTCTCTCTCGTTCACCGTGCGGAAGGGGGGTGTTGCGCGCCATTCACCGCTTCCGCTGGTCCCGAACCAAAGAAATCCCCGCAGCCGAAAGATGAGCGGTGGTATCGCATCGGAGCGCGCGAAACATGCGGCTCGGTTCTTCCCCCCCTCCCTCCCATATCACTGACGAGACAGACACCCACTGAGGAAATACAAGCCGACATATTCCAGGCTCTTTCAGTTCCGTTCCATGTCTTCCCCGTCTTCACTTTTCAACCTCGCTTTCTCCATCTCATCAGTAGCTGCTGTGGTGTCACTTCAATGGGACTGCCTTGCTTTGCTGAAAAATCACACGAGTATACTATCAGCTGAGCGCATGACGGTTTAGGGTTGAGACCTGACTGTCTCAGAGTAATCTCTCAGGATTAGGGACCTGAATGTCTCAGAGTAGTATTTCAGGATTACATGTATTTATTGCTTGACTGACGGCCTTTAGTCTGCCGCGTAAATAGCTCGTCGCCCATGAATCGTTCTCCTAAACGCATCGGGGCATTTCGAAGAAAAGCCTAACCTAGCGTCGACCACATAGACCATACCCTATTGACGATTCGAGTTTCCGAACCTCTGTTCGACAAACCCCTGTTTACGTCGTTTTCGTCGAAAAGTAAGACACAAACATGGACCCTCTTCCGCAAGACCATGGCTTCAATCCCAAGGCCCTAGGCTCGTGGGCTCGGCGCACGGGATTGGTCAGCGGCTTCATGTCCCCGCGCCGGGATAGCGTCGTTGACGTCACCGATGGCACCAATACAGTCACACCCGCTCCAGGCGAACCCGCTTCGCCGTCCCGCGCTAGCAGCGCAGACGGCAGTAGTTTCCAAGCGAGCGGGTTTCACGGGCAGGGGGAAGGGCACGCAGCGCACGAGGGATACGACGGGTACGATAGTCACGGGGGGCACGGGGGGAACGGGGGACAAGTCTCCGCTCCGCAGCTTCCGCCACCGCCCGGACGATCCGCGTTCAAGAAAGCGCCTTCTATTCGCTACCCCGTCGCGCAGCGGGGCGAAGCGAGTAGTGACAGTATCGGGGCCGGGAGCATGTCGCCTAAAACTCCCCAGGCGGTCGCCTCTGCGACTATACCGGAAGCTGAGAACGAGGGGGTTTCGTCTATTGAGGAGAGCGACGCGGGAATGGGAAGCGCGCGACGGTCGGAAGAGGTGTCGAGCCGACACGGGGGGAAGGCTGGCGGAGCGGCAGCGGCGGGGTATGTTGGCGGGGCGTTCGTAGGCTCGGCGATCGGCGGAAGGGTTGGCGGAAACCAGGTGGCGCCGTATCCTGAAGGGGAGGAGGGGGAAGCGGAGGGGGAGTATGAGGGGGAGTATCGGATGGCGGAAGGGGAGTATGGATACGCGGAGGGGGAGGATATGGGGGGAGATGACGATATGTATAAAGAAGATGTGATTGTAGACGATATGCCTTTAGAGGAGGGGATGGAGGAACGGACGGGCGTGATGAATTATGAGATGAGGGAGAGACCCGAGGCCGGGTGGATGGTGGCGTACGCGTTACAGCACATGATTGCGCTTATAGCGAACGTGATTGTGTTCCCGATGATACTTGTTCCCGCTATGGGAGGCTCCGACGTAAGTACATAAAGTATTGCGCTGCTCCCAGTGCTGGCGAGGATCATACTTGGCAAAATAATCAGCATGCTACGTATGCTTTAGGTTTTGAAATTCAATCAGTGATGATGCTAAGGCAACGGGCGTGGCCACCACCCTCACGTGCATTAAAATCTCATTAATCCCTGCTCTCCCTGTTCCTCTCCCTGTTTCCTCTTCCTGCACATGCAGCTTGACAAGGCGGCCGTGATTCAGTCGGTGATGATGGTGACGGGCGTCGCCACCACGCTGCACGTGCTTCGAATCCCAATTAACCCAATATTAATATGCCCCGTTCCTCGCTCCTTGCTCCCTGCTTCCCCTTCACCTTCACAGCTCGACAAGGCGGCGGTGATTCAGTCGGTGATGATGGTGACGGGCATAGCGACCACGCTCCACGTGCTGCTGGGCACGCGCCTGCCCCTCGTGCAGGGGTCGTCTCTCGTGTATTTGGCACCAGCTATCATCGTCGCCAACTCGCCTCACAACCTCACCGCCGAGCCCTCACAGCGGTTCTCGCTAACAATGCGGGAGACGATGGGGGCAGTGATCGTGGCGTCGCTGCTGCAAGTCGTTGCTGGTTACTCGGGCTTCATGTCGCTCCTCATAGAGTAAGCACCGCTACTGTCATTTCTGGTATAATATCATAATGGCCATGGGTCTCTCCTTCCTCTCCTACGGCTTCCCTGTCATCTACCCTTCCCCCTTCATCTCCCAATCCCCCATCACCCATGCCCCCACCCGCAGGCTGATCAACCCAGTGGTGGTGGCCCCAACTATCATGGCAGTGGGTCTCTCCTTCCTCTCCTATGGCTTTCCTGTCATCGGCCGCTGCGTTGCTATCGGCTTGCCTGAGCTCATCCTTATCGTCATCTTCGCCCTGGTGAGCTATTCTTGAGGATCTTACCGTGTTGCTTTCGCTGCGGTATGCAACACTCGCAGCGCTGTCACACTAAGTTACTGCCGTCCGTCCGCTTGTGACGCTTCGCTCTCCACCTCTGTGCCTCCCTCTCAACCTCTATTCCTTTTTCTCCACCGCTCTGCACCCCTCTGAACAGTACCTGCGGCGAGTGTCGTTCTGGGGCTCAAGGTTCTTCCAGATCCACGCGGTAAGCTCCTCACCCTCCCTGCATTTTCCGCATTTATGTGCTCTTTCCAACTCGCGCTTTTTAAGGCTGTATCTGCCTCTTCGGACTCACCTCTCTGCCACTCCAACTTAATGCATCTACAACATCCCTCACTCCAGCGTTAATCCTTGATGAACGCTGCCATCACTCGCCCCTCCATCCGTCCTTCCAACTTCCTTTCCTTCCCACCACTCGCAGATCTCCTTGGGTCTGGCCATAACGTGGCTGTACGCGCTAGTGCTCACCCTAGCAGGCGTCTACAGCTACCCCGACTGCGCGCCTTCGGCCATCTACCCCTCCTCCTCCCCGTGCTTCGAGAAGCAAGCCCTCATGGCCTCCTGTCGAACCGACGCCTCCAGTGTTCTGTCGGACGCCAAGTGGGTGGCGCCCCCGTACCCGTTTCAGTACGGCATGCCCATCTTCCGATGGGAGTCCATATGCGTCATGCTGCTGCCGGCGCTCATCTCTACTATTGATTCGGTAAGTTTAGGGTGGGTGAATGGATGTGGGTGGGCGGAAAGCTCAAGTGGGTGGCGCCCCCATACCCCTTTCAGTACGGCATGCCGATATTCCGATGGGAGTCCATATGCGTCATGCTGGTGCCTGCCCTGATTTCAACCATCGACTCGGTAAGTCGGGGATGGATTGATGGATGCTCGCAGTGCTGGTGGCTGGCTGTTTGGAGGCTGTTGGAGCAGTGCTGGTAGCTGTTTGGAGTAGGCATGGACGGCATAGCGAGCACGCTGAGTTTTGAGGCGTCTTAAAGCCAGCATGCTGACACGGATGTGGGGCACGGGGGTTGGAAGGGGCGTGCAGCACAGGTGCTCCAGCTGCCACCACAGAGCATTCACCTTTCTTCCTCGTCCCGCGGTCTCCCGTTTCCATTTCCCCTCCCTGCCGTACCTCAGGTCAGCAACTACCACGCAACTTCCCTGCTGGTGACGGTGCGGCCCCCTACAGGCGGGGTGGTGGGGCGAGGGATAGGCATGGAGAGCGTTGCGAGTGTGCTGGCAGGGATGTGGGGCACGGGGGGTGGTGGGGGCATGCATCACTGGCGCCTCTGCTGCCACCACCACAACAGCACTTTCACCTTTCCTCCCTGCCCCACGGTCTCCTCTTTCCACTTCCCCTCCCTGCCCCTTTCAGGTCAGCAACTACCACGCAACTTCCCTGCTTGTGGCCGTCCGTCCCCCCACAGGCGGGGTGGTGGGGCGGGGGATAGGCATGGAGGGCATAGCGAGCGTGCTGGCAGGGATGTGGGGCACGGGGGGAGGCGCCACCACGCTCACTGAGAACATTCACCTCGTTGCGGTTACCAGAATGGGGTCGCGCGTTACCATCATCGTCGGAGCGGCGTTCCTCGTCTTCTTCTCGCTGTTTGGTACGTGGGGAGGTGGGGAAAAGGGGGGCTTGGCAGGAGGGACTGGTGTTCAAGGGAAGAGGGGTGGGGTCGCGCGTTACCATCATCGTTGGGGCAGCGTTCCTTGTCTTCTTCTCGCTGTTTGGTACGTGGGGTGGTGTGAGGGAAGTGGGAGCTTGGCAGGAGAAACCGGTGTGCAAGGGAAGAGGGGTGGGGCTTTCGGGGTGGTAAGAAAGGGGGGGGGGCAGTGGGGGTGTTGAGGTTGAGGGGGGCATGGTGAGGGATAACGGTGGTGGACAGTGCGCTATTTGACAGCCCCCTTCTCACGCACCCCACAGCTCATACAACTTCTGCTTTCCCCCTTCTCCCCCCCCCTCTACCACCCCTCTTCTCCCGTCGTCCTTTGCCATTACACCAGGCAAGGTGGGTGCTCTATTCGCCTCCATGCCGCCGGTCATGATCGGCGGGCTCCTCACCATAATGGCGGCCATGGCAGCGTCGCTTACTCTCTTTCCCTCGTGCCTCCGTCTGTTGTCCACCTCCTAACCCAGGCAAAGTAGCGGCGCTATTTGCCTCCATGCCACCGGTCATGGTGGCCGGCCTCCTCACTATAATGGCAGCCATGGCAGCGTCACGCGGCCTCTCCTCGCTGCGCTACGCCGAGATGGGCTCCTCCTTCAACCCGCCTTTCTTATTTCACCGTACTCCCCCTCCCTTCCCCGCCTCTTCCCCCCTTATCCCCCCTCACTTTCCCTTCCTTTACCAGGCAAAGTAGGAGCACTCTTTGCTTCCATGCCGCCGGTCATGATCGGGGGCCTCCTCACCATAATGGCGGCCATGGCAGCGTCGCTCGGCCTCTCCTCGCTGCGCTACGCTGAGATGGGCTCCTCCCGCAACCTGCCTTCATTTCTCCCTCCCTGTCTCCCAACTCCCCCCATCTCCTCTCCCCCTCCTTCCCCGTTCTCCCCCCTGCCGTTCCCCGCTCTACCCCCCTCATCAACAGGCAAGGTGGGTGCTCTATTCGCCTCCATGCCGCCGGTCATGATCGGCGGGCTCCTCACCATAATGGCAGCCATGACAGCGTCGCTCGGCCTCTCCTCGCTGCGCTACGCCGAGATGGGCTCCTCGCGCAACCTCCTCATCACGGGATTGGCGCTCTTCTTGTCTCTGTCCGTTCCGGATTACTTCAAGACATATACTGCATCTAACGGCCACGGGCCCATCAACACCTCAAGCTCCGGGGTGAGTGCTCAGTGTTTTTACATCTTTTTTGGCCTCTCCTCGCTGCGCTACGGTACCCTTGGGCCGAGATGGGCTCCTCGCGCAACCTCCTCATCATGGGCCTGGCGCTCTTCTTGTCCCTCTTCGTCCAGGACTATCTTAAGACGTACATTGCTTCCAACTTCCATGTGTAGTCTTTCTCTAATCTTGTTCCCATCTCCCTCCCCTCCTTACTCCTGTCCCCTCACTTCTCTGCTGCTCACAGCTCAACTTTGTGCTCAACTCACTCCTCGCCTTCCCCGTCCATTGCCTTCATGGTATCCTTCCTCCTTGACAACACTGTCCCCTGCACAGCATGGCACGGCACGGGGCAACGCAGCAAGAGGGGGGCATTACATGGCTCCTGTCTAATCCCCTCCTCTTCTCCCGTCCCCTGTCTGCTGTTGCCAACCCTTCCGTCCCTTTCCATCCCCTCGCAGCTCAACTTTGTGCTCAACTCACTGCTCGCCCTCCCCATGGCAATCGCCTTCATGACTGCATTCCTCCTCGACAACACTGTTCCCGGCATGGCACGGCGCGGCACAACAACGACGCCCTTTTACTTCTGGACCCTGGCTAATCCCTCCCTCCCCTCCTCTGCCCTTTCTGCTCCCCTGTGCAGCTCAACTTTGTGCTCAACTCGCTGCTGGCCCTCCCAATGGCAATCGCCTTCATGACTGCTTTCCTCCTCGACAACACTGTGCCCGGCACGGCACAGCACAACGCATCACGAGGCCTTAACGTCTGGTCTTCATCTATTTCCCCTTTTCTCTCCTCCCCTCCCCCCTTCTCCTTGACAGCTCAACTTTGTGCTCAACTCACTCCTCGCTCTCCCCATGGCCATAGCCTTCATGACTGCTTTCCTCCTAGACAACACTGTTCCCGGCACGGCCACCGAACGAGGCCTCTACGTCTGGTCCGGACGTAAGGCGGCTCGGGCCGACCCTCTCATGCATGAGGACTACGACTTGCCGTTCGGCTTGAGCAGATTCTTTTCCTGGGTCTTCTGGCTGGGCGTGTAGCTGTAGCTTTGGAAGCATGTGTGCATGACCCTGCTTGTAATTAATAAGCTCAGGTTTTTGGAGTGTAGATGTAGCAACTAATATAATCATAGGCGTCTTAGCTTCCTCTGGTGTAGGATTAGCGACTGAATGTGGCACACGGGGATGTCTTCACACAAGAAGCTATTTTTATAGCCTCAACCAAATAGTTTCCCAAATGAAACACCCAGATTTAGAACTAGACCAAACGTTGCGTACTTTGTCTCTGCACTACTCAGGGCATGTGTCTGCAGAGCACCAACCTGCTTGCAATTGCCTCATTGTGTAGTTTTGAACACAGAACATGTCGCGAACCTTATTGGCAGCCTTGCCCCCTGTTTATTCATACGGTATGCATTTCCAAGAATGTATTGCCGGTACATTATGTACTAGTGCCAAGAGCCAGGGCTTTTATCTCGACCAACACGCGAGCATCTGCTGTTGCGGAGACGGCAGAATCGCTTGCTCCTGAGTTGGCAAGAACAGAGCTGAACCGGGATGGGACAGGGGGGGGCGGGGGGGGGGGGGGGAAGGAGGGATGGTGGAGAGGAGGAAGGTGAGGTGCGAGAGTAATCGGGGGAGGAACTTGCATCAACAACCTTGGCCACGCATGCATGCATCCTAGTTACTTACCTGATAGGAACAGAGACAGATGCCTGCAGCACGAGGCGGTACTGGGAGAGGCGGGTGGAGAGGCGCCCGCTCACTGCAGGCACAGAGTCATGAGGCGCCGTTATAGTCACATTTGCCTGGTCCAGGTTGGAGCCTAGGAAGCTTCCTGTGAGGGCGCCTGCGCGCAGCACCACCTGGTTGGGTGTGAGCGAGAAGGTGCCATCTGGGGACGGCTGGAACTGACCTCCTGGTGAGAGGGAATGACAGGGCAAGCGCAGAGAAGGATGTAGAAGGGGAAAAATGACAAATGCAGAATTGGGTGAAATAATGTTTGCGCACCAAATTAATGTTTGATGTATTGTGTCTTACCCGAGATTTCCACCACTGGCTGGGAGACCTTGATTGTAGCGAGCGGAACACCCATTGTGGCTGAAAGGACGGCTGTGATTTCTTCTGGACGTGATCCTGCGGTGGCTGCCTGCCACGTCACCACACGCGCGGCCGATGAGTTTTCTGCCGAGTCACGCAAATCGATCTGACCAATCAGGTTGACGGAACTGGGATTGAGCTCTGCTGTGATGCCACTTGGCAGGCCCTGGAGGGTGACGTGGCACACGGACTCGGGTGGTACGAAGTTGAGTATGATCACTGCTGCAGCGTGTGAGGCGAGAAGAGAGAACGCGGTTACTGCCAGCATAATCGCGCTAAGTGATTTGGTCCGGAGATCCATGGTAGCAGGAGTTGACTGACAACCTGATTCTAACCCGTGTATGGGTTCTTCCGACTCTGATTTAGAGAAGAGAAATTCGATGCGAGGAGAACGAGGAAGCAAGTCGTTTCGAGTTGTCCTTGGATGAGACATGGAGGTACGGTACGGACTAGCCTATTTGTAGGTGAACGGCTGTACGTCCGCACAACGCCTAGAGGGAAATTCCAGTTCCCAATTGAAACTCCCAATTCCAGTTCCCAATTGAAACTCTGACGGATTGATTGATTCGCGTCGGAAATGTCAGCTTGAGGATGACGTGCGAGGCGCGCAACTCAACAAGTCGAATCGCGCATTTTTTTCCAGCCTACCATACAAGTCAAACGGGACTCGTGGAAGAGAACTGATTGACCGTGAGGACGTGGCGATATCGTCCACGTCGTCATTACACCCGAGCACAGATACATAAACGTTTATGCATATGCTGAACGCTTTATCGATTTTGCTCTCAACCAGTCCTCGATGTTGGGGAGGTCATTTGCGCATCCCAAAAAGTACCGCGGAAAGCCCTTTTTCATCCCACCGCACCCCCTTCTCATCAACACCTGGCACTCTGGCAATCCCACACATTCCTTCTGTGGCAGAGTATTTTACCAAGCCCATCAGATTTCCGATAGCTCAGCGCGATCATGGAGTTTTCATGAATAACTGCTTCATCCATCCTCTATTGTTTCACCACCATGGTCCATGGCTTCGCCACGTCCTTCAGCACTCCTAATCTTTTCGTGCGAAGCTGGTAAGCCAACTCTGATCTCTATTGTATCCTTCCGAAAAGCGTTTAGTTAAAAAAACTCGTTCAGGCTGACTGAATATTCTCGCGGCTGTGATGACTTATGTTTCTGGACCTCCGATTTCACCGTGAGGAACGTACAATAACACCTAGGCTGTGGTTCTGAGCCGCTTGTTGCAGCAAGGTCTTTCTTATCCAGCCTTTCGTTTCCTGCTCCTTCCGCTCCCAGCACTCGTCTGTCACCATTCTGAACTTTGCGTCGCATTTGCATTGCATTTTAGTTGCGTCGGATTTCTCGCATTCACATTCTGTAGTATCCGTCGGGCTCCTGATCATTCTCCTCCGATGCATTCAGTGTCCGTAGCGAACGAGTCTCAAATGATGAATTTATGTTGATGTGGTAATTTGCGTCCGATGGCCTTCGGCCGACTGAGGACTCAACCTTGGAGAACTGATGGGACTCATGGATAGCTGGTTATCTCCGATGCGAATGTTTAGGGTTTAGGCACGCAGTTCAGTGTTCGAAGTAGTCTATTTTAATCAAAGGTGTCTTCTTTCATGTTCTTGTTCCTTTTTTGCTTAACCAGAAGCTTGCTATAATGGGCTGCACGGGAGCAGCAGCCAATAAGACGTCGCGGACGGACGTTGAGCCTATTGACATGCGGGTTTGAAGGACGCCTCTTTCCAGTCGCTTCTGTCCTCTGACATGGCGAATCGTCTGACAAGGTGCGTTCTGCGCTTCGTCTCGAGTTATTTGCCTCTGTTCTAGAGACTTCATGCCGGGTGTTTTATCGCTTAATTCTAGTTGCGACAATTGCTAGTGCGTCGTTCGAACGGCTCGCGTCCCTAGCGACGGCGTGCGATCCCTTCACGGGGTTCGCATTGCCTGTCCTGAGATGCGATTTCCGCTGTCGCAACGTACTCGTTCCCAGTCGCACATATCGCCCAGCCTCCCGCGACTTACCCGTCCGCTCTGATCGGCAGAGGGGAGTCCTCAGGGTTCTTGACCGTCCCTGTAGGGGAGGTTCATTATTGTCACCTCCCAAGACATTCACCGACATTCTGACTTCTCCTCCCCCGCACTTTTCTCAGCCGCCACGAAAACGTGGCATTCGGTGGATCCGTCGCAGCGTGCGTGTGTTAAGTTCTCCTTCCTGACACTCTACTTCGTGGTATTCCCGTTCCTTGCAGGTGCTTCAATTCCTGGTAATGGCCAGCTCCGAAGGATCTCCTGTGCTTCAAGTCGATTGTGTGTGGCATGTGGGGCGGGTGCTTCAGAGGCAAACGTGAGGGTGCAGAACTGCCGCGAGTTAATTCCAAGTCGCTGAGAAAGGATACGATTTTTACACGAGAAATTCTTCTACGCGGTCGTCTATGCCATGCTCCACACGAGGTACGCTGCGTTCGTGCGACTCTTTGGTGGCTAGACTGCTTGGTTATCTACCATGATGGCGCATGGCGCGTGTTATGGCTTGTGTGCGTGATGATGAATGCACGGAGAGCAATGACGATCAGTGCTTAAGAGGCCATTATTGGCCAGTGACGAATCAAATTCTTTAAACCTCCTACTCGAACTGAGCTCTCCATAGCTGTTATTGATGGTCACGACTACTACTGGTGTGATTTGTGTCCTGGTCGTGTCTTGGTGATATTTCTCATGCTCTTGTTAACAATTCAATTTACACATTTGCTTCTATTGGTCGCGTCTCTCTTTACAGGTACGTTTCAATCGTGCAGGGTCTTTATTTGGGAAGCTGAGCAGCGGGGTCAGTGTATCATCATTCTACAATACTTTTAGTCAGCAGAATTGGTCAATAATGTGAAATGATGTTGACAATTGCAATAGAGATCATTCACTGAAACAATTGGCACAAATTCTACCGTACTTGTTGCATAGCTAGATCAATTCCTATTGGCTGTATGATACAGATGCGTTTTCCTGAAAAATCTGTCATCAACCAGCCGGAGCACCTCCTGGAGCAGCGCCAGGGGCACGACCAGGTGCAGCCCCAGGGGCGGCACCAGGAGCACGGCCAGGGGCAGCGCCTGGAGCCCCACCAGGTGCAGCACCAGGGGCTGCACCAGGAGCAGCTCCAGGAGCACGGCCAGGTGCAGCACCTGGAGCCCCACCAGGGGCAGCACCAGGAGCACGACCAGGAGCGGCTCCAGGAGCCCCGCCAGGGGCAGCGCCAGGAGCAGCACCGGGTGCAGCCCCAGGAGCGGCACCAGGAGCACGGCCAGGGGCAGCCCCCGGAGCAGCCCCGGGAGCGGCACCAGGAGCAGCGCCAGGAGCAGCGCCAGGAGCACGGCCAGGAGCAGCTCCTGGAGCAGGAGTAGGAGGAGCCTTACCCCCCGCAGCAGGAGTAGGTGCAGGGGCAGGGGTGGGAGCGGGGGTGGGTGCAGGGGTGGGCGCAGGAGTGGGAGCAGGGGTAGGAGCAGGAGTGGGTGCAGGGGTGGGTGCAGGGGTCGGGGCAGCAGCAGGCACAGGGGCGCAGCGCGGAGTGGGAGCAGCAGAGGGGACACCAGCCAGGGGAGGGGGTTCCTTGCCAGGAGCAGACGGGGCAGGGTAGGGGCGGAGGGCACTAGGCGGCTGCTGGCCAATCCCCTGCAGGTTGAGGTTCACGCGCATCACTGCCGCTGCTCCAGGCGGGGTTGGACCCGGAGGCGTGGTGCCCCCGAGAGCTTCGATCACCGAACGCAGCGGCACGTCAAAGGATCCGCCAGAGAGGAGCTCAAAGATCTTCCCACGGCGAATGAATTTGCCGTTGAGAGTGGGCGCGTCAGGTTTGGGAAGGTCGACGACAACGTTCTGCTTGTCGACGTTGTTGCGGAAGAGAGAGCCGGAGACGCGGGAGAAGAGCAGCTTGGTGTTGTTAGGCTGGAAGGAGTAGTCGCTGGTGCTGTTATCGATGGGGAAGCGTCCTCCCCAGATCTGCACTTGGGGATTCTTGAAGGTCAGGTTTGCAAACTCGTTGGGACCTGCAGGTGGCGCGATGAATGCTGTCCACTTGGCAGGGTCTGAGGAGAAGTTGGAAGAGAGCCATTCGGCCTGCACATCAGGAGCCACAGAAGTTGTGTTAAACAAAGCATTATGTAAAATAAATTGTTAGAAAAAAATTCATGTGTTGTTTGGCTCTGAAAAACTATGATCTATGTAAGGTACTGGATGCGTTTCTCTTACAAAGATGGGAGTGAACTGTGGCCGGATGACTCTCAACACGTTGATAACGACAGGCCCCACCAGCTTGAACTGCCCGGGGGTGCTCTCCCTTCTCAACCCAGGCGGCCCCTCCAGCGACCACGACGACACGGAGTTGTCAGGAATCGTGTTGAGGTCCACCAATCCGCGCTTCGGACGTGGCGGTTTCTCTGCGCAAGCCGGTGCTCCAAGCGTGGAGAGAAGCAGGATGACAGAAAGGGAGGCTAGGACTGCTCGGAGGAGCATTGAGCGGGAATCCATGGTGGAAAATCAAAGAGCTAAACGAGGATGCGGAAGGCTGGTAGCTCGGGATGGGAATGGACAGAGCACAGGGAACCAAGCACGCTCACGGAGAGTGAGGCGCAGAAACCAGGCGAAGCTGGCTGAGTTGGTGTGTGAGAGTCACCAGGGTTCTTGATATCGTGAATGCGGAGTGGGGACGAAATTTGGTTGCGAAGTTGGGAAAATCTGGGGACGAAATGCGGCTCGGTGAATGCGTCTCGTGCGATGGGGTGTGTTTTCGCGACAGTTGTTTGATTGACTGTGATTGGTTCGGTTTTGTCGCGAAACGAGTTACCGTCAGATCGAGCCGGACTTCGGATGAATCGTGGGGACTCGACCGCACTTGGCGGTCGAACCCGTACCAGCTGGACTCGAGACTCGTGGCGAATGCCCGTGATGGGTGTTCGACTTGCCCACAAAAAGGCTACGCAGGGCTTCCTTATTGACAGTTCAGATTCTCTGTACCCGATCTTGTTCCTACTTCTGAACACTAGAGATGGAAATTAATTTTATCAATAACAATGGCTGTCATGCTTTAAAACAGCCAGCGTATAGGGAATCAGTCACATTATATAGGGTACGTGAACCATTTTTTTCCATGATGGATTTTTTTTATTAAACCTAAGCATTGCAAGCCCACGCAGTCTCCTTTTACTGACTACCAAGTCATCATTTATCAAATTGAGTAGAATATAGATCATATATTATTCCTGCATAAACTTAAATTTCTTGATACAGCCCCTCTGTGCATGGATGGCATACTTGTATATATCTGGTGATGTATAATGTACCGTATTGTTGATTATGTTACCGGTACCACAATTCCTCCAAACAGGATCAGCAACATGGTAGGATACTCTGAGCATTTGACATCTGCTCCACCACACCATATAGCCCCATGCTCGACCCGGATAAGGTACCTCCTAGATATGGTCCGTGCTCACAGACAAGCAGTGGACAATAGTAGTGTATGAATGTATCGTTCCGTTCGCAACATTTTCCTAACATTAATCAATTTCTCAAAATTTCAATGGTACCGGTACATGTTTAGGACATACCCCTCCCTTCATACACCAGCTACACCACTACACATAGTCCTATTTCTCAGAAGCTGGAGTGGGAGCAGGGGCAGGGGCAGGAACAGGAGCGGGGCCAGGGGCAGGAGCAGCAGAAGGGACACCAGCCAGAGGGGGAGGCTCCCTCCCCGGACCAGCAGGTGCGGGACGCCCTCCAATGGTTCGGGGAGGCTGCCGACCAATGGCCTGCAGGCTGAGGTTGAATCGCATGATCACCTCATCAGGGAAATTGGGGCCAGGAGGAGGAGGACCGGGTTCCACACCGAGAGCAACAACCAGTGCACTGGGACGCCAAAGAGGCAGGGAAATGGTAGGTTAGGGGAGCGGGAAGAGAAGAAGACATCAGGGGAAACAGGAGAAACATGGAGCAGTGGAAGTGGGGGGGTGGTGCACTGCTCCCATGTCACCGCCTTAGGTTTATTTGCGGAAAGCCCCAGCGGCCTTGAAAGAGAGGAGGACGCGAGCAAAGGAGGCATTGATGCCTGGACTGGGAGGAGCAGGTCCGCGAGTGGGAGGCGCAATGGCTGCGAACATGACACTGCAAAGGGGCGGTAGTTCAGGAAGGTTGTGTTGCGAGGTGATGGAACATGGGGTGTTGGGGGCGCAGAGCAAATGTGCAGACATGCATTAGGTGACCGTTTTGTCAAATGAAAGTGAACACATACAAAAATTCAGTACTTTATGGACCTTACCGGAGTGGAATGTCAAGCTCGCCTCCAGAAATGAGCTCAAAGACAGGGCCCTGTTAGGAAACAGCAGAACAAAAGGACTCAGCCTATCATATGTACCACTCATTGTGAATTTGAAGAATTATCATGGAAGTCGTGGTTGGGGGGTTCGGGAGGCGAGGGAGGAAAAGGGGACAACAAACGTAGTACCTACCCTTCGGATGAATTTCCCATTCAGTGTTGGGATGTTTCCAGCAGGCAGCGTGATCACGACATTCTGCTTGTCCACGTTGGATCGCAGTAGTGTGCCAGACACGCGGGAGAAGACCAGCCTCGTGTTGTTAGGCTTGAAGGAGTAGTCGCTCGTGGTGTTGTCGATGTCAAACCGCCCACCCCAGATCTGTACGACAGGATCCTTGAAGGTCAGGTTGGCGAACTCGTTGGCGCCTGAAGGTGGACCTATGGAAGCTGTCCACGTGGCAGGATCCGACGTCAGATTGGATGACAACCACTCAGCCTGCACAGCCAATATATATATATATGTATATATATATATGTATATAAATATATATATATATATATATATATATATAAACCAAAATCAGCCAAATATATTAACCAGAATTGGAACCGCAAGAAGGACAGAAAAAACACCACATGCGGGGTTTTAGCCAGAGAAGATTCACGTTAAAATGTCTGGAAAGCACTCACCTGTACGGGCGTGAACAGCGGGCGGATGACCTTAAGCACGTTGATAACGACAGGCCCCACCAGCTTGAACTGCCCCGGAGTGCTCTCCTTGAGCAGCGCTGGCGGGCCCTGCAGCGACCATGACGACACGGAATTCTCAGGAATGGTCTTCAGATCCACGATGCCACGCTGCTGCGGCTGCGCACCGGCGAGTGGGGTGAGTGAGGCGAGCGTCGCGAGGAGGGAGAGAGAGACGAGGATGCGGAGAAGACGGAGGGAGACGTAGATCGCCATGGTTGCAGGTAGTGCAGCGCAGGTGACGGAAGGCTGCTAGTAGACGGCGCAGGAGGCGGCAGATCCGAATGCTTCTGCACCGAAAGTGAAGTTGAAACACTCCAGAGACAGGCAGATGCTGCTGAATCTCGTCCAAGAGTGCGCTTAAAAGCGAGTAAGGACGGCTTCGTTTTTCGTACGAAGATCGGCGACGAGAGAGCGACGCCGCGGTTGTCGCCATCGCATTGTTTGCGAAGTGCTCGCCGAAGTGGTTAATGTCGCACTGCGAGGTAATGGCATGCCATGGTGGCTCCTCGAAGTAATGCAGGCACATTGAACGGTGTCGACGCGGCACATGCAGCTTGACTTGTCCAGCTCGGATTCATTCTTAGGCCTCGTTACGAGACACCCAAAACGAAACAGCTCTTACTAAAACCTCGCCGTGTAGACCCACACCATGCACCTAGTCTGGTAAGTTCTAGCTGGCAGATAGAATGATGACATTCCAGACCCCTACTGCGGCGATGCGAAATGCCTGATTCAACGCATCGACAGGGGTGTTGGAATGGTGAGCCTCTTGAAGCCTTTTCGGAAAACAAGGTGCCCCGTAACAGACATGAAGGATTTCTTGGGAATGCTAGCCAGATTCCTGAAGGAATACTTCCCTCAGGGGGCTGAAGGGAGGGGCAGCAGAAATAACATTTCCCTGCCTGCCCAGAATGTTGTCACTTTGGTGTACACGAAGGAAATGTGAAAAGGGTGCAATGTTTGAAAGCCTAGATGGTCAGGCTGGAAATGACCGTAAAACAAATTATCTAGGGTAAAGTACCCACTGATACCCCTTCTCCCCAGCTGTTTCAGAATCGAGAAAAGAGGGAAACTCTCGGCTGGCATTGGGATTGTCATACATCGAATTTCTGAAATTCCTGGCAGCTGTAATCCCTCATGCCAGCCATGAAATTGTCATGGCGAGTGTTCAGGGAATTGGAACGTGGAAAGATTTCCGTGTATTGCGCTACTACAGCCTTTTCGAGGTTCGACGTCGACGATGGCGGTCTGAGTTGTAGTCCCCGAACCGGGTCGCGAAGCGCCAGATGTGTGTTCTGAGTTCTTCCGATTCGCGAGACGGATTCTTTTACACGTAAGCTCGGAGTATAGAATCTGCGAGTATTAATCTCGCAACATTCAATCCCTGTGATCCCTCGGATTTCGTAGAATCTTGATAGTCTCTGTCCGTTTTTACGGCTGGTAGCACCTCACGGGTCTTGTCCGCTCTCGGCTAAGGCTCCCTCTGTGCTTTTTACGGCACTTAGTGCTCTCCGCAGTCTTCCTTCCTCCCGAGCTTCCCTCGCTCGCCATTCCAGTTGCTTGCGAAGAATCATCCATTGCAATGGCTGGTGCTTCTAGAAACTCTCGTGCCTCCTCCAGGGGTTTCACCCTTGCTCTCCGACCTCTTTCTCTCTCCCTCTCCCTTTCCCTCCTCCTCTCGCTCGTTCTTGCTCTACTTGGCGGGACGTCAGCACAGACGGGGCCAGTGCCTCTCACCATTATCCCTCAGAACTCCGTGTCCACGTGGTCCATTCAGAAGTTGTCAGGTGTCACGGCGAACACATCACCGCTTTCGTTCCAGAATACGGGCCCCGTGCTGCTCAACATCTCACAGGCCGATAGCAAGACGTTCCAACCCACTGAGGTAAATCACATTCCCAATTATTAAAGGTGGCGCTGCACTCTCAGCCTCTCAGCTTGATAGAACGGTGTTCCAAACCTCTGGTGTTTGGTTTTTTGGGGGAGGTTGACCACGTCAGTCTCCTCCAATCTGACCACCTCCTCTTGCATGTCTCCTTTACTTCTGAGCCTATCCAACTCACATTGGAGCGAATCTCGGTTTGTATGTCAATTTAACCTGGTTTCCTTCAAATTCCTGCCTGTCTTTCTGGCTTCCGCAGGTGGTTTGGACGTCGTCCAACATCAGCTCTGACCCTTCCACGTGGACTGCTGAGCTGTCGTCAGCAATGACCCGATCCAGCATCGCCAATCTCACCATGCAGAACCCCCAGATGTGGATTTACGGTGGGGATCAACATTCACCGCCCTAATGCCTCTGTTTGTCTGAGGTTCCCTTTCTGCTTTTGTGAGGCCTCAATCGTACAAATATGGTTATATTCCTATGTGCGTTCCCACAGGAGGCAAGTTTGATGTGAAGAACCTCAACTACTCCTTCAAGCCAGACAACGCGGTGCTTCTGGTGCAGAGCCTCACAGGCACGCTGCTGGGCACGAACGTGAACAGCCAGAACCTGCAAGTGCCCATTGATTCTGACAACATTCCCGACCTCAATGGCCAGCTCATTGCTCGGGTAAGAACGCCTCACGATGTGTTCCAGTGCATGGTCCATTTGTTGTAAGCTGTATGCCATGTATTATGAATATTGCACTTTACTCTAGCACTCAAGCTGCTGGTTGAGATTATCGTCCTGTCCATTTTACTGGCTGGTGTGTTCCAGGGGCCACAGTACGAGCTACTGTCAAGTGGAGTCTTTGAAGTCCCTCTCAGGTATGCATGCTTCCATCCATCCTAATACGCATACATTTATTCAAGGATGTCTGCATTCCTCTCTGGTATGCATGCCTCCATCTGACTAGATGCATACAGACATGAAGATGAATACCTGCATTTTTCCATCCTACATCACGCCAAACTCTCCTTTTTGTACCATTGGTTTAGGGTTTTTTACCATCCAACATGATTGTGTTGATTATCTGAAGCTATTGCACCCTACCCTTTGTCACTCTCATTCACAGTGGTCTCATCACAGCAGCAGGTGGCGGGGAGCAGGCAGGGGGGTTGGTGGGAGACAGCTTTCTGCAGCTCAACATGACCATCCAGGCCATCGGCCCGCCTGGCCGTGGGCCTCGCCCTCCCTTCCGCTCCCCCCCTCGCGCACCACGTCGGCTGAGATAAGGCCCTGGTTTTAAGAGCTTGAGGAAATACCACCCCTCAGCCCCCCTCATGTGCCAATGCTACTGGGTACAGGATTTGCCTTTTAGAGGAGTTAGACATGATGTAGTGCCAGCCGAATGCAATGTATGGTACGGTAGTGTGGATGAAACTGAAAGATCTTGAGAGGTGTTCAATTTTTGTATCTTATCTTTGAAGGAACTCTAGCCACCCAGGCCACACAGGAAGACCCTGGCATAGAAGGAATCAACTTTCCAACAACGTGCAAACATGATGGCAGGTAAATGCCTTCTCTCAGGCACCACAATAGAGAAGATATGTACATCCTATAGCCTTCTCACCTCCAGCTCGCTGGTAGTTACAACATCCAAGGGCTCCTTTGACACTGAATGCCTTCTGTGTTCTAAAACCCCTTCTGTGTCCGCTGCAATAACAACGGTACCATTATCCTCTACAGCTCCTTCCAACGCCTCATCGACACCAGCAGAACCTGTACACCCTTTATTGGCACCATCAGCATCAGCATCAGCATCAGCACCATCAGCAGCCTCAGCATGAGCAGCTGTTCCAGAAACAACCTCTCCATCCTCAGCGCCAGCGCCAGCACCAGCGGCCTTTTTTCTTTTGGCCCGCTTGTCATAACGGTACTTGAGTACAGTGAGGGTTACCATGAAAACGATTTCAATTATAAGGGGGATGGCAACGGGCCAGAGCTTATATGCCACGCCGTATATGCTGATTCCGATCAGACCCAGCAGGTAGCATGCTTGCCTGGAGGAGGAGAAGAGGGAGAGGTGGAGGGGGGTAGTGGGAATGAGGGGGCATGGAAGAGACGAGGAGAGTAGAGGAGGAAAGGACAAGGCCGAATTGAGAAGAAGGCAAGGAGAGGGGATGGAGGAAGAAGGGGGCAAAAACAGGGTGGGAGAGAAAAGGGGAGTGGAGAAGGGGAGGGGAGATAGCCGGAAGAGTATTGCTGGGACGAAAGGTCGAAGTGAGGGGGTGATGGGAGCGTCGCAGTCTGTGCGTGGTCCCAAAGGCGAGGCGAAACAAGGGGACGATGAGGATAGTGACAGCACCGAGCGCGAATTCTGCTAATGGGCGTAACCATACTAAGAGTTCTTAAATGGTCACCTACGAGAATTCTTAAATATCGATGTAAGTAGCGCCATCTGACCAGAAATAGCTGAGGTCGTTGGCGGACTTGGTACGGTACGTCTTGACCAGCTGCGGCAGGATTGACACGCAGAAGATGATACCGCCGATGAAACCGCACGCGGAGTAAGGATTCGCAAACGACGCCTCTAACGAAGCCTCTTCTGTCGCGACCATAGCAGGCGTGACAATTACGAAAGCACGGTGCTTGGGGGTGGGGGGAATGGGCTGTGTGGCTGCCCAGTCGAGAGAGGATTGGGGAAAGGGAGATTTTGGGTGGGTGTAGCCAGGAAAAACTTGTTCATTATGGGCGGCTTCAACCGGAGCATACGGGGATTTCTGAGGCTGAATACTGCATCCGCCATTCATTGACTCAGAGTTCAGAATACTATGTTCTAAGGGATTTTCATTTTGTGCTTCTAATGTTTCAAATAGTATAAATGTAAGTGAACATTGGCAGTCGTAACTGTGGCGGGGAGGGGAGGGCTGCAATAACCCGCATTGCAGGATAAGGAATTTGAGTGAAAAATAACCCGTAACGTGAGTCTCATGTGTTAATAACGGAACTCCATCAGAAATTTGCGCCCTTCCACGAACTGCTTGCGCCCCTCCCACGAATTCCGAGTGAATTTCGCGCCTCTCCGCATTCGTCACTTCCCCAGCCCACCCCATCCCAACCGTTAGTGACCCAACCCAACTCCCTCAAGCCCACTTTTCTTTCCCCCAATTCAGGCATATGCCTGCGTGCTCTGGCTGACTGCCTCCATTCCTTTCCATCCTTTCTTTCCTTACCTGCATGCATGCGTTTCAGCCGCCTTGCCGCGCAACCATGGCCACTGCTCCGCGCCTTCGCGTCGCGTCGACTCACCTCGTCGTCACCCAACGGGCTCGCCCCGCCCCTTGCCTTTTATGCGTGGGTCGAGAGTCGAAATGTCCCGTCCATCATCCATCGTCCATCGCGCCCGACGGACCGCCGCGAGGAAACGCGAACCCAGTTTCCGCCGCGTCCCATTCATCTGCCCCAACTCCGCGCGTTCACGCCCACCTCCTTCGGCGCCGTGCTTCTCTCCTTGCGCCTCCTGCGCTTTTCCCCCACCGTCTCCTAGCTCAGGCCGAGCCGTGTCCCCTCTCAGCGCAGGTTTCCTCAACTGCATGCACGCGGCGCTCACACGTCGTTTCCGCAACCCGCAGGCGCGCGTCTCTCCGTTCCCCCTTTGCGGATTCGCATTTCGCAGGACACGTCTCACGTATCATCCAGTACCCCCCCTCTCGCATCTCTCTCTCGCGCGCCAGGCTGTCTGCCCGACAGGGTTGCTCCGCCACGTGCCAGTCCGCAGCTGCGCCTTGCGGAACCGCTAAAAGTGCCCCTCTCACCGCGAGACACCGCTTCTTTTTTCATCGTCACCCTGCTCCCTCGCGACCTTCACTTGTCTCGAAAAGACGACCGCCGCAAGGCCTGCGACTGCCCAAACGTTTGGTTGTGAGTGCCGAGATTCCCAAGGGATCCGACAGGTCGTACCGTTAGACTGATGAAGCGGACGGCTTCCGTCGCGGATTCGTTCATTTTCCGTCACCGGGGTGATTCGGAGCGATTTGCTGACGAGCAACCCGTGCTGCGCCGAGCCTACTGCTCGCGGAGCTGAGAGGCCGAATGCGTCCCGTCTGCCGTGGCCGCTGGTTGCAGCCGATGCAGCAGAACCCGCCGGGAGCTTTTATAGACGTAGCTATTACACTTGCTGTGCGTCCTATTCTTGCCATTACACCCGCGTCTCCTGGTTTCGATTTCGTACCTTCAACAGTCGTTAGCCACCAATCCTTTCTCTAGTACTCAGCGCCTCTCTATATCGCCCATCCGCCTCCTCGTCCTCACTCGCCTCTTCGAACTCACCTAGGTCCGTTCAGCAGCCGTTGGGCTCCTTGAGTCGCTGCTCCATTCCTTGGGTGAAATCAGAGAGACATTACGGTACCAGTGGCTTCTGGGTTGAAACCTTGTGAAGTTGGAACTGTTGAGTTGAAACGCAGAGTGAAATCACCTAGTTGTAACGCCTCACGCGTCTGCCGGTGAATGGTCACACCTTGCATTGGCGCGCTTTGCCCCCAGGCTGGCCCCAACGCTGCTGCCCACGGACCTACTTATAAAGAGTCAGCTGTTAGCGACTCTGGCGAGCCTGTAGCTGCGCATGGCACTGAAGAATTGCGTGTGTGCGGGCATAACCGTGCAGACGCACAGGCGGATGGGGGGCATGAGCACGAGCAAGCGCATCAGCTTGTGGCGAGTACAAAGTGTACCTGTGGGCATGAGCTTGTGCGTGGCTGCAAGGCTGCTGCAGGGACGCATAGATTTGAAGGAAAGGGCGCAAAAGGAGAGGGCGCAAAGGGGGAAAGCTTCTGCGGTTGTGGGTTGCAGGCGGATGTGCTGGCGGAGCTACTGGGGGGCCAAGGGGAAGGAGGCCTGGGAGAAGTGAGCGCAGGAGAGGGAGGGGAGGCGGGTGAGAAAGGGAAACAGGGAAGCGAGAAGGAGAACGGGGAGAGTGAGAAGGGAAGGGGCATGGGGAATGTGGTTAGTCTGACTTGTGAGATTGGGGGAGGCGGTATTGTTACAGGGGTGGGGAGGAAGGGGAATGTGGATGGTAAGGACGAGAAGAGGGTAGGTGAGGATGGGAGAGAGGGAAGGATTTTCGCTGCTGTAGCAGCACCACTAGTCGCAGCAGCAGCAGCGGCAGCACCAGTTGCAGCAGCAGCAGCAGTGAAACCAGCAGCGGCAGCAACAGCTTTGGCAGCAACAACATCAGGAGCAGGGGCAGCAGCAGGTGCGGCAGTAGTAGCAGCAGGGTCGGTGCCTGTGGTGACAGCAGGAGTTGGAATCGAAGGGATTGAGGGACTGTGGCAGGGGTGGGATGGCGATGGGCAGGGGAGCGGCGAGGGGGTGGGGGATGGAGAGGGGAAAGGGGGCGGGGAGGGGCAGAAAGGTGAAGAGGGGAAAGGGGGCGGAGGGAAGAAGGGGGATGGAGAGGGGAAAGGAGGCGGAAAGGGGAAGGGGGGCGGAGTGCACGAGAGGGTGGATAGTCCTAGAGAGGACGTGAAGAGGAGGGAGGTGCGGTGGAAGGGTAGGGGCGTGGGCGTGGGGGGGGCGAGGGCTGCGAGTAGGGTGAGGGGCGGTGAGGGGAGTGAGGGGAGGATCGTGGGCGTGAACTTGTATGAACGAGCAACAGCTGCTGACTTTGTCAACAGGAAACAGATCGGCTCTGGACGGTTAGTATGGGGGATGGGGGGGACGGGGGTAAATAGGATAAGAAGAGAAAGAGAGAGAACGGGGGACGGGAAATAGGGAAATAGGAGAGAAGAAGAAGGCAAACATCAAATCATTTCCTTTCTTAAGTGGTCTTCAGTTGCATACCCACCTTATCACACTCCCTCCTGGCAGCAACGCAGTGGTGTATGTGGTCTTGTTTGCTATAACGGGTTGCAAGGTGGCTGTTAAGGCGTATGTCCGATGGTGTCTTGATTCGTTACTGTTCTCTGTTGTTTCCCCTGTCCCCTGTCCCCTCCCAGAAACGCAGTGGTATCTGCAGCCTCATGTGCTATAACGGGTCACAAGGTGGCTGTTAAGGCGTACGTCAAGTCTGCCCTAAGCGCCCTGGATAGGCACAGGATCAACCGGGAGGTGGCGCTACTGATGACACTTAAGTAAGTCCTGCTGCTTTCTCCCACGTGGCTGTAAGGGCGTATGTCAAGTCTGCTCTAAGCGCCCTGGACCGGCACAGGATCAACCGGGAGGTGGCACTGCTGATGACACTTAAGTAAGAGATGTAATGTTGGGGTGTAAGAGAAGCTTTCACAGTCGAATGTTAGTCTCAAATTAAAACTTCACTCACTCACTCACTCACTCACTCGCTCACTGAAACATCCCCACGTTTCCAGCCCCCCCTTCCCATGGCACATCATTCAATGGCTGGGTCATATTGAGGACCCCCAGATTGTGTACATCGTGCAGGAGTAGGATGGGCGTGCATTGAGGTCGTTTTTGAGGCGCCTCAAAAACGACTACATTGTGCAGGAGTGGGATGGGCGTCTGGCCGTCGGTGCGACCTGTTGTACTGCCCCCACTAACTCCTCCTCTCGCTCCCCTTCCCTTCTCTATGCAACCCTCCCCACCCATGCAGCCATGAACACATAATCTAGTAGCTGGGTCACTTGGAGGACCCCCAGTGCATGTACATCGTGCAGGAGTGGGCGACAGGGGGGGACCTGTGGCACCACCCCCCACCCCCTCAAACCCATCCCCACTTCTCTTTACTGCTTCCCATTGCCCTCCATTCTCTCCCATGCAGTCACGAGCACATAATCCAGTGGTTGGGTCACTTCGAGGACCCTCAGTGCGTGTACATAGTGCAGGAGTGGGCGACAGGGGGGGACCTGTTTGAGGAGCTGAGGGCGAGCGGGGGGCACATGGGGGAGGCGCGCATAGCCAAGCACATCCTGCTGCCGCTGCTGTCCGCCCTGCACCACATGCACAGCAGGGGGATCGTGCATCGGGATTTGAAACCAGAGAATTTACTTCTCACCTTCCACGGTACTCTCAAGGTGAGCAGGCAGGCGGGCACATGGGAGAGGCGCGCATAGCCAAGCACATCCTGCTACCGCTGCTAGCGGCAGTGCACCACATGCACACCCAAGGAGTGTTGCACCCAAGGAGGATTTGATACCAGAGAATCTACTTCTCACCTTCCACGGTACTGTCAAGGTGAGTGATAAGCTGTAAGCATGGGTCTCAGCAGGTGACGACAGCAAAGCACATCCTGCTGCTGCCGCTGCTGCATGCCGCTCTGCACCACGCTGCAGTACATGGCACCTGAGGTGGTGCAGATGGCATGAATGAGGAATGTGAGCCTTTTCCCCTCGCTTCCCCTTGCACTCGCGCTGATGCACAGGTGTGTGATTTTGGCCTGGCTATCAACATGAAAGAAGAACGCCCTGCCAGCCGCCTGGGCACGCTTCAGTACATGGCACCTGAGGTGGTTTGGTGCATGTGGCACAGCCATGCCACTCGCTCCTGCTCTTCCCCATCCCCCCCTCCTTCAGGTGTGTGACTTCGGTCTGGCCATCAACATGAAGGAAGAGCGCCCAGCCAGCCGCCTGGGCACCCTCCAGTACATGGCGCCTGAGGTGGTGCAGATGGCACGGGGGCAGCGCGGGCGAGGGGGGCACGGGGGGAGGGGCAAGGTGGAGGAGAAGAAGGGGGGAGCAGCAGGGCTGGGGCAGGTGGTGGGTAGCGCTGGTGGCGCGGGTGGCGCTGTTAGTGGTGCTGAAGGTAAAAATGGCACTTCTCCGATGCTTGAAGGAGCGTACGATGAGAAGGTGGACATCTGGTGAGTGCTGCTGAGCGCTTGTGCTGCCCTCTGTGCCTCCTCGCCCTCTATGGGTCGTGCACGTGAATCTACAGCATATCAGGGTCTTGAAGTTTGTGTTTGTTGCATGCTCACTGCTTAGTTGCTGCATGTGTCTTATGCCTCAATATTCAGGGCACGTGAAGTGCTGGTGTACGAGCTGGTGATGGGGCATGCTGATTGTACCACGTGCTAAGACCATGCCTACCACGTGTTCCTCTTGCCCCATCATCCAACAGGGCATGTGGAGTGCTGGTGTACGAGCTGGTGATGGGACATCCGCCCTTTGAGGGAGCATCCGACATGCACACAGCCACCAACATCATGCACCGGGAGCTCGTGCCTGATGCGCTGCCCGCTGCCATGTCACCTGCATGCAAGGACTTCATCTGCCGAGTGAGTGATGTGTGCAATGTCCCTTTTCCTTTGAGGGGGCATCAGACATGCACACAGCAACCAACATCATGCACCGGGAGCTAGTTCCACTGCGCATGCCACTTCGCATGCATGCAAGAACTTCAGTTGCTGAGTGGGTTAGACTGGTTGCATCAGGAATATATGTATTTTACCTTTTCTTGCGAGAACCCCGCCGATCGCCCTTCGCTGCTTCAGATGCTGGACCATCCCTTTGTGTCGGGGCACTGCGGGAACCTTCCTCTGCTCAAGCTGACTTTGGCCCTTCCCTCCCATGCCTCTCCAGGTGCTTTGCAAAAACCCCTCCGACCGCCCCTCGTTGCTTCAGATGCTGGATCATCCCTTCGTGTCGGGCCACTGCCGGGGGCGGCCTCTTTTTAAGGAGGTGAGGCAGGCGGTTTTGGAGGAGAGGTGGCGGCAGGAGAGGGAGAGGGAGATGGGGGAGGAGCGGAGGAGACGGGTGGAGGCGCAGAGGGAGGAGGAGAGGAGGAGGGAGTGGTGGGAGGAGCAGCGGAGGGTGATGGTGCTGAGGAAGAAAGGAGGGGAGGGGGAGGAAATGGGCAGTAAGTCATTTGGGAGAGAGAGTAAAGATGTGTTTGGTGAGGGTATGCGGGGGGTTGAAACAGTAACCAATCCTGTGTGCATCAATCCTCCACCCATCAGTCCTCCATCCATCAACCCTTCCCCAATTAGCCCATCAGCACGCCTCGCCATCATCCCCCCCACTCGCTTTCCTCCCTCCTCTCCCCTACCGCCACCTCCTCTGTTAGCCTCCATCTCCTCTCCGTCTGCATCTACACCCACGTCCTCGTTATTGTCACCTGCATCAGGATCACCACCAGCATCACCCCCTCCTGCACTCACAACCTTCCTGCCTAACCCTACCCTGGCCAATCAGCCAACCGCATCTGCTGAACCATCCAATAGCACTCCAGAGGGTTCCCCCCAGCCAATCCCTGTATCAACTCCCATAGTCACATCTCTTACAGGAACAGACCTCCCGCCTGGTGCACAAGGAATTGCACAGAGGGCATGGATATTTGCAGCCGGGGTAGGTGTGGGGGGAGGCCTTGGGGGAGGAGCAGTTTCAGGAGTAACCCCAAGGGGAGTTTCTGTGGGAGAAGCAGAGGGGTCTGGTGTGCGCAAGCCATTTTCTTGGCTGCATCCCTTCCAAGGCTGGGCTTTGCCGGTGGGCAAGTAGGCACACGATTGTAATTTTGGTCTGTGGTTCTCTTGAGGTGGTTAGTTTATCAACTTGACAGTATTAGCTTCGTTTGTCAGGCAATATATAGCTTCACAATGTTATCATCTTTGTAAACGATTTATACACAAAGTATGCACCTTCTGCAAACATTTGCTCAAACTTGGAGCTTTACCAGACCACGCACCTTCCAAAAAGGCTACCATTACAGCATTAGGTTCGATAAGGTTGGACCATGCCTAGCAGGTCCAACGAGATTTAGCCTAAAACATATCCCTTCCACGTTAGCTGCTTTCATACGAGCCTCCATTCAACCATGGCCTAGCAATAAGAGGGATACTGTATCTTGAGAGGTACAGGTAGCAGCTCGCAGGCAGCTGAGCTGACTGAATCTTCACGCAGACCAGATTTTCTGGGTTATTTCCGGAGCTATCCACAGTTGTGATGTCGACAGTCGCTGCTCCAAGGCGCCATCGAAAAAGAATGGATTGGCAGAACGGATCTGCTTCGAAAGTTCCTTATCCTGCCATTATCCTCTTGGGCTTGAAAAGTTGCTGCGGCGGTAGGGACGGCGTCTTCATGCACCAAGAGTTGTTGCTGTTGCTCGGGTATCGGAACGGGAAGTTATTGCCTTCGAACAGATCGAGTAAGGCCAGAGTCTGCAAGAAGAGAGAAGTACACAAAGATTCGATCAGAATGAGTCACAAACCACAACGATGAGAAGAACACGAGAGGATCACGCGAAGAGTGAAAAGTTCGTCAAGCAGCATCCAAGGCGGCATACGGTACCTCGGGAACGGACAGCATGAGCCGGAATTTCGGGCCGTCGTAGTGATGCAGCACGGGTCGAAACTCGTCCTCCTCCAGCGCTCTGCACGCCTTGCGGATCCGGATCCGCACCTGCGCCGGGAACCGCGACTCGCCCTTCACCTTCTTGTCCTCCCACGCGGTCGGATCGATGTTCGAGCCTCCGAAGCTCGCGGCTTCGAAAACCCCGTGTAGTTGATGCGTCGTGTAGTTGTACAGGAATAACGGTAACCCGGGTTGGATGGAGCGAACCGAGTCGCGGTATCGTTGTGGTAGGCCGAATAGTTGACGTTTCAGGTCTTCCTGCATTGTGTCGTTGTTGCATACGAAGATATACCCTCCTAAGATCTCGTGTCTTGGAAGAGACTCTGAGGGAGGCAGCGTTTTCTGCTTCTTTTCTGGAGGTGACTGTGTGCTGGGTGACTGCGTGCCTTGCGGCTGCTTCGCTGGTGACCGCATGATGCCTGGCGAGTTCAGAACAGCTAGCGAAAACACACCCGTTCCTGTCATCCCGAGATCCCAGAAACCCCGAAACCTTGAAAACTAATCGTCTGAAAACGATAGGACCTACTCAGCAGCTGTATGACCAAGCCTGTTCGAGAGTGTCTATATATGAACAACTAGGCGAGGAGGGGTCGTAAGGCTGAAGCGAGGTGCAAGACTTGGCGGGAACGGATCTAGTTTCCGGGGCTGTCTCCAGTGAGATCGGCTGGAAAAGACAGACTGGATCTCACTCCGACGGAAGCGTTGGCCTGGCAACAAGGCGAAACAGAACGTTGGTTTGGAGAAGTGATGGGAGTTTGGGTGCGGCGGAGTTTATGCAACTTTGAGGCGAAGAAGCAGATCGAGGTGACGGAAAAGTTCCCGAAGATACCGGAATTTATCTCCCAAGCGCGCCTGGGTGTGCGGGCAAAGGGGCATACGGGGGGGCTGGAAACACAACTTTGACACGCAAACTGACCAACCAAAAACTTCATAAAGGTTCCCGTGCGGTCGAAGTCATGATCCGACCGAGGCCAGGAACATTCATTGATAGGGTGCTTACCCCCATTTGTCGTAATTCGCAAAGCACTCTTATCTAAAACCAAAATGACTTGGGGAATATCACCTCTTCACAATGCGGGCATTCTAGGTACACGAGATTCGAAACAGAACTTACCAGAACAGCTACCCACACTCGTTAAAAACGGGCGTCGTACCCAGCAGAAAAATAATCAGCACACAAGCTTGTTTGGAGAGTTGGTTTGGTTTGGACCCACCGACCGCGAAAGCGCGGGGTAACTTCGTGCACACCACCACCAACCCCTACCATCCAGCTGCTCGAATGTTCGTTCGGTCCAGCAGCGTAATCAAGCGAGGTGGGGGGAACCAACCAGCAGGAACTTTTGATGAGGTCCCAGCGGGCCGGGTGGGGTCCGCCCCGCCGCAACAAGATTCCTCTCGAATCCCTTGCAAGGTCCATTTCGGTCAGGTTTGGTGGAATCGCGAACGTGGAGTCCCTCAAGTCCTCAGAAACTTTTCGGCCATTTTCAGGTGCATGCAGCTTAGTCGAGACGCGTTATTCAGGTGCATGCCAGGTTGCTTACACTTTTCTCAGGTTAAAAAATGTCTCTCGTAAATTAACACGCAGTTCAAGATTCGATTAAAATTGGCACAAAAGGTCTGAAATAGATGCAATTTCGGGCTACGCAAATTGGAATCGGAATGGTTGGCTCTCGATGCTGCATTTTCTGACGTAACTCAGTGTAATGATTGCATTTTGTCCAATTTATACGCAAATTTCTGCTTTGCACCAACTCATTTCGAACGAATCTAATGCTAGATCTGTTGTACTTTTGACGCAGATGACGGACGCTGCGCATGGCAAATCAGCAAACCCTTCGTGAGTGTTTGTATATTTTGCCTCTACCAAACTAAGTTTGCCGTACGTGCATATTGAAATAGGTGGTATTCAACGGCCTTAATTACGTGGCATTAAATATACATGTAACATACGATATATCCTTAATAGCGGTAGGGGTAACTCACTCTTAACACTCGGGCATATTTATCGTGTTTCGGACTACCCTTTTCAAGCAATGCACGTCCCACTAGAGTTTGCTGATTTGACCCGCGAAGCGTCCGCCACCTGCGCCAACAGTACAAACGATTTAGCATTACAATCCGTTCAAAAAGATTTGGTGCGAAGCAAAAAATTGCGTAGAAACTGGGCAGAAATGCAATCATTGCACTGAGTTACGTCAGAAAATGCAGCATCGAAAGCCAATCATCCCGATTCCGATTTGCGTATTCCGAAATTCCATCTATTTCAGACCTTTTGTGTCAATTTTTATCGAATCTTGAACTGCGTATTCATTTACGGGAGAAATTGTTTAACCTGAGAAAAGTGTACGCAACCTGGCATGCACCTGAATAACGCGCCTCGACTAAGCTGCATGCACCTGAAAATGGCCGGAAACTTTTGCTCCGTAGATCCCGCGAGGCAAGAGGGATCCAGCCCACGGGTGCAGCCAAAGTCCGTTCAAGCCACCGTTTGATGCCACGCACGATGTCCAGCCTGCCACGCATACTCTGCAGGTTTGGGCAAGTGAGCGACGTCACCCTCGCAAGCTTGCGTGACGACCAAGTACACCTGTTACGATTTGACTCGTTAGGAACGAAAGCCTAATCTGGCAGCGCTATGTTTGCATTATTTTGCCCAAAAATGTACCCCTTCAACAACAAGCAAACAGCACCTTATCAAGGTTAGGCGAAAAGTGTTTCTGAGCCTGTCCGTAAAACGTTTTGACTAAGAGTGCCTCCAGACACCACAATTGTGTAGAGGGCTTCGTCTCCTGCTTGCCTGGAGCCTTCCAAAGGCCCCGTCCCGTCCTGAGCCGATGCAATGCACCGACTTGTGCGACACGTCGTATTGTCATACTCCTGGCTGCCTCATTGTCATCCAGCAAATGGTCGCACAATCAACCTCCCAAGGCTGCAGCAGCAGCAGCCTTGGGAGCATGGCTGACTATTCAAAAAAAACCAGTCTGATGTTCTGGGGGCACTGAAAAAAAATAGTCTGAGGCATATTTTCCAGAGAATGGTTACTCTGATTTTCCAGGTTCCGCATAAACACAAGTCTAAAGTAATCAGACTTCACAAGGCAAAAGCAGACAAGGGGATTTTCATTGCATAAGGTTATGAATGACTTCGTGAATACACTACAGCCGCTGCAGCACGGCACTGTCATGAATGTACCACGTGAGGCGCAGCGCTAATCGACTTAGCTACTCCATCACAGAGTTTCCCTCGCTGACACCGCGTAGCTGCAGCGATGGTCACACGTGAGTGAAACAGAGCCAAGGTGGCAGATTTCTAAGGAAAGAGTGGCAAAAGTTGCCAAGTATAGTACAAGTTTTGCGCGTGACAGCGCCGTGAAGTGTGTTCGTACACTGGCAACATGTGAAGTAGTGGAAGATACGTAGAAAGTACAGATCCGCATTTCAGGATCCGTACTCCTCATAGAATGAAGACCCATTATCGGCTAAGTCACTACTCTGAAAATCCCAGTATCCAGAAACTAGTAAGTCTGAAGCACTCATGTTTGAAAATCTTACAAGTCTGAAAAATCAGGATCCATAGGAAAATACCCTGAAATTTCAGACAATCAGACTATTTTAGTCTGATAAAGTCAGCCCTGCTTGGGAGCATTATGAGTGTCAGGCAGCAACCGGATGTGCAGATTTCTGCTTGAGCTCTTCGTTTGTTGTAATAATGTTCACTCAGCAGGGCCTTTTATTACTGGGTGTGCGGAGAAACAGCTGGGAAGCTAACCTTCTCAGTTGGAAATTTGGAAGTATGCTCTTCACCAAACCTTTGCCATTCTATGACCGGATGCTGCATTCTGCTACAGCAGTTTGCTCAGTCCACGAAAAATTACAGTAGCCTTTCCATTGAATAATAAAATGGTATGTACACGCATCATTTCTACCATATGCTGTTTTTCCTAAGAGAAGCAACGAGCGAGCTGCTTCATGGGAACTGAAGACGCCAGGTCCCCAAACTTGCGTTCGTTTAATTATTAGTGTGCTGCGAGGAGCAGTGGTCATTGGACCAGGCACAGGAAACGTTCCTCAGCCAGCCATTAGGCGGCTGCAGCCGTGGTACGGAGTGGAGAGAGGAGGACTCTTGCGACACCAGCTGTTGAAGTGGCTGAAGTATTGGTACGGAAAGTTGTTCTCCTCGAATAAGTCCAGCAGCGCAAGTGTCTGTAACGCGAAACACACAGACGAGAAATTAGCAATCCGACATCGGTTGCTGGCTAATAGTCGGGAAGTGTTATGGGACGGCGCTCACCTCAGGAACGGAGAGCATTAGTCTGAACTTGGGACCGTCGTAGTGGAAGAGAAAGGGTCGAAATTCTTCCTCATCAAGAGCTCGACAGAACTTGCGAATTTTGATGCGAACTTGGGCAGGAAACCGGGACTCGCCTTTCACCTTCTTGTCTTCCCAGGCCGTCGGGTCAATGTTTGTGCCGCCGAAGCTTGCAGCCTATCATGAGCGAACGAGCTTTGTCAGGCCGACTTTTCAAAGGAAGAAAGCGATGCGGAAAACGATTGTAGTAACGTGTTATCACCTCGAATACTCCATGGAGTTGGTGCGTAGTATAGTTGTACAGAAAGAGGGGAAGGCCTGGTTGAATTGCTCGCACGGAGTCGCGGTATCGCTGGGGAAGCCCGAAGAGTTGTCGCTCCAAGTCTTCATGCATCGTCTCGTTGTTGCAAACAAAAATGTAACCCCCTAGAATTTCATGTCTGGGTAGTGTCTCTGCCGGGGGAAGGGTCTTGAAGCGTTTGTCGGGTGACTGGGGAGACCCTTGAAGCGAGGACGAGCATCCTCCAGTTCCTATCATCGTTACTTCTGGCTGTGCCCAAAACTCGGAACCCTAAAACGGGAAAACTCCTAGTCCTATGGAATAGAACGAGCGTCAAGGTGCTATCGGAGTGGTGTTAGTGGAGTCAGCGATGGTAGCTGCGTTGAAACAAGTTGGAAATAGCTGAGAAGGATGCGGGAGAGGCGTGGAGGGTTGTAAAACCAAGCGGCCAAAATGCAGAGCACCGAAAAGCGTTGCGAGGAGAAATCGGGTCGGGAAAGTTGGGCGTCAGGGGAGCTGGGCTGGGCGAAAAAATGCTTTGGCCTTCAACTGAGGTGAGGGGGCATTTGACGATGTGTACGTGGGGGTGAGCTGACCGCGTCACGACCGACATGAACATGGAAAGCTGAATCGTTGAGCCTGTTTCGGGATACAGTGCACTAGTCCGCAGCCGAGTGGCACGTCGATGCCAGCTAAAACAGCCGAACGAGCAGGTCACGCCAGCTCGACAACGACCGTATGAAACGCGTCTAGTGTCAGCCGATTGTCCGGTGTACCAGTTCAGTTGGTTCACGGAGCACATTACAGCAGTACCCTGTGTGCATATGCCAGAGCGCGTTTCATGGTGGAGATCTGAATCCTGCCTAACCAACCAAGA